CTTTCCTGATAACGCAAAGGTAAAGCTGAAATCTGTTTGTTCATTCACCCCTGCTCGGGCGAAGCTCACAGAGATCTGCAGCAGGAGTGTCACCAGGTAGAAATTTTCCCAGGGAAAGCATTGAATACAAATTGAGGAATAGAAGTAGATTTGCTTTAAAGAGAAGAGGGATTGTTTGTTCTTTTGCTGTGTCAGTGCAGGATGGGGTCTCTGCTGTCGTGGGCAGGCAGTGCCCCCTCATGTGCTTGTTCCTTCTCTGGCTCAGATCTCGATCCTGAAGCCCCACTGCAGCAGTTTGCTCATGGAAACATTACTGCCTGTGTTGAATGGTAAGGTGACTGGGGTGGCTGTGATGTTGGGAGGGCTTGGATTTCTGGGGAAGGAGGGGAGAAGGGGATGTGTGTGTGTGTTTGGAAGCTCTGGTAGGAGAGTGGAAGCAATTAAAGCTCTTTGATCCCCATTCTGAGGCTGGAGTTAAACATCCAACATTACTCTTGCACCATCCCACCCCAGCATCAGTCCTGGCAACAGTCAGTGGCAGAGAATGTAAAGAAAGCCAAGTGCATGGTGGTGCTGCAGTTGGTGCCCCTGAGCAGCTCTGTTGTGGGGCATGAGCTGGGTCACTCCTTGGTGGTGTGTAAGGACCTGTCTGTCTCCTGCAGGTGCCCTGAGCATCGGGATCCCGCTGCCAAACGTGCTGGGCATTCCCCTGATAAAGGTGGATGTTCAGATATTAGCGGTGAGTGTTCAGATGGGCTGTTCCCTCCGGTAAGGAACCAGCACAGCACACCGGGGATGTTTGCGGGACCCTGCCAGAGCTGGTGGTGTGGACAAGAGCTGCAGATTTTAACCCCTGAAAGGTCAAAAGAGCTGCTCTGTCTGGCTTCCCTCAGATCAGGGAATGCTGCCTGAGGGTGTGATGCCCACACATGGACCCAAGTGTGCCATGAACAGTGCTCAGACCCCGGGGCAGGTCCTGTTTTCCCGTCCAAACCTTCTTTCCTTTCTGGAGAACTTGATGGAAGCAGCTCTGATGTGGATCTGGGGGGGTCATGTAAGCCCTTTCCAGTGGCACTTTCAAAGTGTCTTGAATTGCACTGAGTTCCAGCCCTGTGCACCCTGGAGGTGTCCCAGAAGAGCTGGGATGTCCTCTGACACTTCCAAAAGGGTTCTGCTCCCTCCTTATTACAAACTGGACGTGAGGATTCCTGCAGGAGGGCTTTCTCTTTGGTTTTTGTTGTGAACCAGCATCCCTCAAAGTTGGGAAATAACGTGGATGTGTCTCTCCCTGCTCCCCTCCAGGGCCTGATCGTGCTTCTGGTGTGAGCTGGGGAGCACAAAGCACGGGGGAGTCTGCGGGGACAGAGAGAGGAAGACACCAGCGAGGACAGAACACCAGGGCCAGCATGATCTACTTTGCTTTCCTAAACTTGATTCAAGATTACTGATAATATTTAAGACACTCTAAAGTGAATTGGCTCCTGTGAGTACAGTGACACTTGCACAAGCCAAACCCGATCGGCAGCTCTGTGTACCAATATTTATTTAGAGAAGTTGGTGTGATTTTTGGGGTCACAGTCACAGCAGCTGCATGTGATGCTGCAGTGGAATTGGGAAATTTGTTCTGAGGTCAAGCTCTTCCTGATAGAAAGAAGAAGTGAACTTGTTGCATGTGGCTTCTGAAGTGAATATCCCCACCCAGGTTTGGGAGGGTGTGAAGTGCTGAGTGGGAGCTCAGGGTACATTTGTCATGTAACTCTTTCAATAAATGTTCCTACTTTTTTAGTGCTCAGAATGAGGTTCTGGTTTCTGATGCTTCTCAAGGAGAGCTTCTGTCCTACCCCCACTCTGGAATCTGCTTTTTTGATTTTGGGTTTGAAAACTCTTCCCACTCAAACTTCCTGAGAAAAGAAAATACTTGGATTTTCAGTGACTCCTCCTGGCTTGGTAACCTGCTGACCAAATGCTAATCCACAAGCAGAAATCATAATTAAATCGAATTTTCAAAGGTCACGAAGCATTTCCTGATAGAATCTGAAGGGAAAACTTCATTACCAGAGAAATGAGAGGTCTGACAGCCCTGGAGCACACCCGCCTGGCTGCCAGAGCCACATCTGCTTAGGCCGATGTCACAATCTGTTGGTATCTGCACATCACAGGGACAAGAATCACAGCATTTTGGATTGCAGAGAAACAAATTGTTCTGGGTAAAAAGAAAAAAAAAATAAACCTGAAGTTTTAAATGGCCTCTCTGACACCTGTTTTGCCAAGCACTGGACATGATTATGAGCCTGTTATTTCTTATTGGTGTCCTCAAGAGCCGGTGGTGGAATGGCACTGCTGCAGAACGGGTCTGGCACTGCCCAGGTGAGGGGTGGGGCAATGTTCCACTCCACATTTCTGCCTGAAGGGGACAGGGCTCCACGTTTAAGCAGCAGGCTGGGTACAGCGTCAGTGCCAGAACTCTGCAGTGAGGGGTGTCTGCAGAGCGAGGTGCCAACAAGTGTGAACAGCTGTGGAGCATCGGGCTGTGCTCAGGAGCAGGGAGCTCAGATCCCATTGCTCATGTTCTCTGACACCAGCGTGCCCATGGAGCTGGCAGAGGGGTCTGTGTGACCCTTTTACCCAGAGGGCAGGATGAGCAGCCCCAGCTACATGTGCTGCCAGCTGCTTTGTGCCACTTCGGGGTTCCTGTGCTGTTGGGGCTTGGCGTCTCCATCCATCCTTTCTGCCCACAGGTTGGCAGAACAGGCTGTGTTTGCACAAGGTTTTGTTCTGGTTCCTGAGCAAACACCTTCTGGACAGTAAGTAAAGTTTAGCCTCTCTTTTCACACTCGTTTGGCCATCACCTCTGTGTGCATTCTGCCCTGCTGGGGGAGATTCATTTCCCTGGCATGTTATGGAGCACTCTGTGATCTGTCACTGTCCCAGGGCTCTGCTTAACCTGAGAAAGAAAAGGTAGTGGGATGCATGTGATAAGAACTCACTGTTGCGTGGAGCCAGGGCAGGGCTGCGAGCCCAGGGTCACAGAAGAGTGGAAAACTCATCTCGTGCCCCTGGAAATGGCCTTTCCTCCTGGGATTTGGCCTCCATCATGCCGTTCATCCCACGAGGCTGAGTGGGAAAAAGCAGAGGAGCCCTTTCCAAAGGAAAGGGCAACATCTTCTCAGTTTTCTGCAACTTGTGCATCTAAGGCTCTGAATTTCTAGCAAGCTCAGGAGTATACCCAGAGCAGGAAACTACAATTCAGAATCAATAAGCTCTGGGACAATCATGTCTAGGAAAATTTCCTTAATACTGGAGCCGTGACAGGCTGGAAAATCTTTTGGTGGGTGAGCAGCAGAAGGGGGTGAAAGGAGCTGGCTGTGCTGCCGGCAGTGCATGGGACTGGGGCTCTCCAGCTCTTGCTCCAGGAGTGCCCCTGGCAAAGCTTCATCCCTCTGCTGCTCTGTGGGGGCTGGAGAATGGGTTTGTCCCCACTGTATCAGCATTTGAACCATTCTGTTGGTGCATCCTGCTCCATGGGCCACTGGCAAAGGAAGCCAAATATCACCGGGCAGCACTTCCTGCAGGACTGCCCAGAAAGTGATGGATCTTGTGTATGCCAAAGATGCTCATACAAACACTTTTTCCAGTGTTTCTTTTCCCAGGTTAACCTAAAGTGGCAGCTGGGGACAGCACTGCCTGCCTGCTGAAGGCCCAGCTGTGCTGGGGGGGCTCAGTAAATGGGGTGACTGGAGGGAGAAGCAGAAGACCCCTGTTCTCCAGCATAAACCAGCTCTGCTCCAAGCCTCTGGCTGCTCTCAGGTGGGATGTGGGGCTGGGGCTTGGGGGGTGCAGCTCCTGAGACCTCAACCCTGCACTGGAGAGGCAGAACCACGCAGTGAAGCCTAGAGCCAGAATATCCCCCTGGCAAAGAAATACATCTCTTTACTACTGTAGCTTATTCCTTTTGGGAAACTGGTTTCAGATATATTAGTCAAAGGATAATGGTTGCAGCTCTACCAGGAAACTTTTTTTAGGAGCAGTTCCTGCTATGGCCAATTTTGGGCATTAACATCATTAGTCAGGTCCCCACGCTGGGCACATAAACCTTCAGGGTTCCTTACTCCTTGTAGTAAATCAACCTGGCTTGTTTTGTTTGCCTTCCCATTTTCTGAGCCTCTGAAATATGAGGTTTTGAAGTGTTTTTCAGCAGCGCCAGGGGCTAGAAATGATGGCTGTAGCTGTGGCAAGTGAAAGCAGATGTAGATGTAATTAATACGGTTTTATGGCTGGGGCGTTATGTGAAGCATCACCACAGGAGAACTGGGCTTGGAGCTGCATGGTCAGGGTTCAGGATGCTCCTCCTGGGCATCAGCCATGTGCTTGCCCTGGCCAGGGTGTCTGCCAGCAGCAGCCAGTGACTGGAGCAGCTTTTGGAGCTTTTGGAGCTTTGTTACCACCCACCCTTCCCTTTTGGATGCTCCTGTCTGTTGTTGATGTTTTTTCCCCCTTTAGTTTCCTGAACATCCTGGAGTCACATCTGGTCAGTAGGAAAGAGCATCCCAATGCCAACGGCCGTGGCGCTGGCGCAGTCTGACGCCTGCAGTCACCTCTCATTCAGCACTTTCCCTGTGATGAGCTTTCTCAGCAGCCAAGTGTTGAAAATATAACTGCCTTCATGTCTAAAATTAGAAACCATTCTGCAGACTGATTTCCTCCCCCTCTTCTTCTTTCTGACCCAGGAAACCCAACAGCCGTAATGTTCCCATAGTAACACGAGACATGGAGGAAAGGCAGATGAAAGATCTCTCGTGGTAGGGGCCATGCTATCCTGCAGCTGAGAAGGCAGGAAGCTGCTTTGCATCCTTGTAAATGAGTGGGATCTTCATGCTCCCTTAATTAAATGTCTGGACATCTGTACTGGTACCAGTTCTTAGCAAGGCAAAATTCGCCTGTTTGTGGGTACAAATTGCTGAGGGGGAAAAATGTCAGTAGGCACACCAGAAAATGCAGAATTAAAGAGAAATGTTTAATTAAAGCACGGAACGTTGTTACAATCCATCTTCTGTGCAACGGAAGTGCCAGGGGCAGGGCTGGAAGAGAAAGGTGCTAGTGCAATGCTGTTATTATCCTGAATATGACACCATGATGTTTTAGTAAGGCCAGAAAGAAGATTTTCAACACTTCAAGCAGTGACAAACCACAGAGTGTGATGTGAGAGTCGACAGAATGCTTTTGCCACTGTTTTACTCCAGATACCAGACTTCAGCCCAGGGTGGTTGCTTTGCCAGTCCTCTCCTCTAGCTGGAGGTTGCAGGGGATCAAGACATAATCCTGAGCAGGGGAGGAAGGAGGGCTGAGAATGGTGCCTATGTGGTTCCATCAGCCCTCACAGGGCTCACCACCACCCAGAGCCCCTCTGACACAGCCAGGGCCTGTGTCCATGGGGCTAAAGAGAGGCTGGGCCTATTTAAAGCAACAAAACTTGATTCTGCAGGTGACCAGAGCTGGAGGAGCAGACCGATTTATTCCAGAGTTGGGAGGTTAGCACTGCACAGCAGGGAGCAATTTGAAGGTTTTGTTTCTTACCTTGTGAACTGTGACATTGACATCGGTGTAGGTGAAACTGGCGATGTGGGGCAGGAAAACACCTCCTCTCAGGACCACTAGGAAAAGAGAGAGGGAAAGTTGCCGGCCGGGTGCTGCCTGGGTCTGTGCTGAGCATCCTGTGAGGCAGCACCTGCACAGCTCCCATCTCCTCACCATTAATCTGGGCTGGCACCTCCTCACGGATTGTGGGCAAGAATAACTCCTCCAGCAAGGCAGCCTGTGGGGGAAAACCAGGGTCAGCTCACTGTGTGGGACTAAAGCAGGAGGCAGAGACCCATGGGAGAGGGTCCTGATGCTCACTGGGCATCTCCCCATCCCACAAGGACCCAGCTCTCTCCACCAGGTGTAACAAGGACTCAAAGTCAGTATTTCTGTGTTTCCCTGTTGGCACCCACTGCCCAGGATGGATGGAAGGGCTGGGGTCAGGAGCACCTACCAGCACAGGACCCACGTCAGAGGCGGCCAGGCTGAGCTTGATATCCCTGGAAAACAAAGAGCAGCTCAGGAGCTGCTGGTGCTGAGCTGTAACAAGCAGTGACTTCCCTGTTTCCCCAGATCCCCTGGCTGGGCTCGGGAACAATGCAGGGAACAGAAGGTGCAATTCCCACTTTTCTCCCTAACCATGTTTCTGGTGTCTCACTGTTTCCCTGAGGAAGGAGCTACCCCTGCAATGCCCAAATTCTGAAAGCTAAGAACTTCCCAGGACCCGTTTGCCTCTCCTTTCCCTGCTGTGGCTGGGACGTGTCCCCTTCAGGCACCCAGAGCACAGATGTGTTCATTACTCTATCGCTGCTGCAGAGATTATCATCCTTGTGTCCGTGACGCCGAGGTGGAGCCTTGCAGACACGTCCTGTGGAGAGAGCAGAGGGCAGGATCAGTGAGGAAATGGCTTTGAACAGTGGGCTGTGATGAACCCACCCATGGCTCGCCACCTGCAGCGTGCTCCCTGCGTGATGCCACACGGGCAAAAGCTGCTGGAGTCCTGGGAGCACTGTGATGGGAAAGGGCTGAGTCAGCCCCCATGGTGGCTGCAGTCAGACCAGGGCTGAGAGCAAAGGGCAGTGCCTATGGGCAGCACGGGCCACTTCCCGAGCTCAGTGTCACTGCAGGGCACACTCACCACGTTCATGCTCAGGAAGCTCTGGAAAACCGATGATACTGCTCCGATCTGGGCAGTCAGGAAGAGCCTCAGGATTGCTCTGCCTTCCTCCAGCACCACGTGAGGCGAACTCCGGGTCGCAGCTTGCAGCACCACTGGTAGGTCCTCTTGGAAGAGGGAGCCCATCTGAGGAAGGAACGGGGTTATTTCTGGGCATGGAGGTGTCCCTGCACCCCCTGCGTGGTGGGTGGGCAGCTGGGGGTCACTGCCTGAGCTGGGGTGGCAGCGACAGCCACACACCTGAGTGATCTTCTCTACCAGGGTGGTAGTGGTCAGTGGGCTCTGAAAGACAAAGCACAGCTCGTGGTCAGACTAATGGCTGGGTGATGCTGCTGCTCCAAGGGTTGTGTCCAGCATGGCCATGCAGCCCCTGCATGGAGCCCTTCTCACGCCAGGAGCAGTGCACATGTTACGTGGCAAACCCCATTAGTCCAATAATGTTTTTGGGAGAGTGAGGGTGATGGGGCTGTGACTCCTGTGGGAGCTCAGACACACTCTAATTAATTTCTGTGCAAGGCACGTGTCTCCTCCAAGCCATTCCCAGGGCAGGGCTGTCCCTTCAAGTGTGTATCTCCTACTGCTTCCTTCCTTGCTCTCTCCACTCACCAGGATGGTCATGTTGAAGGCTCCAGCCATCTCCAGGGCAAAGAAGAGGCTGTTGTAGAAGTGCTCAGAGAAAGCCAAGGTGAGGTGGGAAGGGCTGGATCTTGCTGGCTCGGGCATGCTGAAAGGCACAGGGCTGACTGGCAGGGGGATCGCCGTCCCTGACACCTGGAAAGTCGTCTGCAGGGACACAGGCAAGGACCAAACAAGTTTGAGATGTCTCAGGGAGTTGTAGCACTGGAAGGGAACCACCTGTGGGAGCTGGAAAGGGAGGACTTACTTGCAAGGAGATGACGATTCCCTGCTCGGAGTACATGGGGGCAGCCAGAGGCACGTACCGGACCTGGCAGGTGGGTGTGATGGGGAAAGGAGCTGCAAATGGAGCAGAGGGATGCTCAGGAAGAGGAGGGCAGCAGTGGCAGGGATTGGCTCTGGGAAGCATACAGGGAAGGAGCCGGGCAGAGGGAGCAGGTCCCTGGGGAGATGATGGCAGCAGAGTCACTGTTGCTGCGGGGTAGGAGTCTGTCCCACCTCACGACCTGCTCCAAAACGATCCCTGAAGCCCTCAGTCCACAATGGGACCGAAAGCCAAGTGCTCACCTGCCAGAGACATCAGACGTTCGTTTGGGAAAAGCAGCAGTTTGGAGACTTCCAGGCAAATCTATGGAATGAAGAGCAAAAAGAGAGGTGATAGGTGAACATGGGGGTCTTCTGGCACCAGATGTCTGGAATGCAGCCTGGAGCCAGGGGACAATGGCAGTGTCCAGTGAGCATGGAATTGTGGGGTAGAGCTGGAAAAAAGATCTGTAATTCTTACAGAACTGTACAACGCTGTCTTGTGCCTTTACAAACTTTATCTTACCTTTTCTACATTGATCTGCTTGTCCACATCTGATCCTGAGGACGTGCTGGGTGAAAACAACAGAACAGAAGACGTTAGGAGAGAACCAGCTCAGCCAAGGGTGGGTAAGTGTGTTTTATCTGACCCAAAAGGCATCCAGAGACAATTAGCATTATTTTCTACCATCTGTTAAGCTATGATTACCATTCAGAATTGCCACTGGACTTGAACTAAAAGTATTCCTCCTGCACAGTTCTGAAAGTGCTGCTCCCTTGTGAGAGCATAAAATTCTCTCCAAAGGGGAAATCCCCACAAAAAGCAGAGCAAAATTCCTCCCATGAAGATAAAGCTTTTGTGTTGGGCTTTGTTAGCTTTCAGTGAACAGGTCTCAGTCTGGTCACCTTCCTGACTAGAAATGCTTCTGCCTCAGTTTCCTCTTCCCCCCACTACCCAGCTCCCACAAGGAGGAAAACCGTGGGGCCGACCTGTCCATCTCCTCGGTGCTCTGCAGCTCCTCCAGGGTGGGTTTGCAGGCAGAGGTCACCAGCTCCAGGTTCCCTTCAGGGTTCATCTCCACATGGAGGTCTGCCAGGATGGACAGCTGCATCTCCTTGGTGGTCGAGCTGTGCCGGGGAGGAGAGGAGGAGGCTGGAGCCGGGGGGTGCTCCTGGCCGTGCTCGCCCCAGGCAACCCTTGCTCCTGCAGGTGCTGGATCCTTGTCGCTCCAGCCAGGAGCTCGGGCTGGTTGCAGCCCATGCAGCCCCACCACTCACGGGGTAGATGTGATGCCGAGGTCCACGTCGATGCTCAGCCGCATCCCGGTGTCGGGGACGAGCGTCAGGGAGAACTCGTCAACCTTTACGGAGTTAATTTGGTTCCTGCTGGAGCAGAAATGAAGGTTTTGGGAGGTCAGCAAGGACTAATGTGCAGTCCCGGAGAAGCCCCAAAAGTCCATGAGATCTGCACAGGTAAATCCACACTCCCAGGGCAGCATGGAATCCGCTACCCTTGCACCCCAGTGGAGGAGCCAGGAGATGGTTCCTAAATCTCCCGGTCTCCGGGAGGAATTTTGCCCTCTCTGCCAAAATGCCTTTTGTGGTGATACTCAGACACCATCATAAACCAGGGGTATGGCAGCAAAGCCTGGGCAAGAGAGGGCAACTCACCTGCTTGGGGAGGCGAGAGATGGGTCTGGGGCGGGCGGGGCCATGAGGTCTTGCCTGAGGACTGACTCTGCGTGTGGCTTTGAAACTTCAGCAACTGTGGAATAGGACAGATGTTTCATGAAACCCTCTGGAGCTTGTGTCCTGATGGATGGACTGAAACCCACCCAGGTGACACACTTCCATCCCTTACTAGTGCCCTGCTGTTAGCAGTGGGCAGGGGGTGATGCAGGTGAGCTGAGTAGTGCCACAAGATTCTGGTGCTGGAGTTTGATGTTTCATCACTGAAGATGCCACTGCCTCCCCTCCCCACTGCCAGTGTGGGTCTGGACTTACGGTATTTCAGTCCTGATGGGGTGAGGATGCCCCCACAGTCGGGTGACCTGATGGTGTGAGCCGGGACCAGGAGGCTCAGGAGGATGCTCAGGGTGCCGAGCATTGCCATGCCAGCACCTGGAGGAGGAGAAGGAAGAAGAGGAGGAGGAGGGGGGCACCCACAGCAGCCCAGTCAGAGCAGTGTGGCCTGGGCTGACCACTGAGGCACAGAGCCACAGATCCACTTCTGGATGGGGCTTGTGGTGCAGAGCATGCCAGCTCTGGTGCAACAACAACCCAGAGCTCCTGTGTTCTGCCTTAAAAGCACTGACAGATGCTCAGCCTTGAAGAAACCCCATGCCTGTAAGCTAGAACGGTGCCTGCAGCGATATCACAGCTGCTGAAGAGCACAGAACAGCCACAACTGGTATAAAACCACCAAATAAACAGGAGCTAAAATTAATAGAGGAAGGAATGGAAGTTATGGAAGTCAAATGAGAAGGTGAAAGTGTTATCTGTCTCTGAAATACATTTGGGAATCGTTTATAATGTCTGTAGTGCTCCTATAATATTAAGAAAACAAGAAATTCAGAAAGTTTAACCTGCAGAAAACATACATATTTATCTCAGTCTTTGCAGAAAGTGGACTTCTGGTGAGTGCTGACCCTTATGGAGACACACAAAAGTAAGTAGAAGCAATGCCTGTATCAAGCTATTCAGTTTGCAAATGCACCTTTACCTCTCCTGGCCAGTCTTCCCATTCTTCTGACTCGGTCCGTGTCTTGTCGTGGCCACACTGAGGAATTCAGTTGGCTTTATATATCCTTCCAACCAAGGCTGATGGGGCAGGAGTTGGCAAAGAGGGTTGGGAACACGGACACTGTGGGGACACTTTGATTTCTGTACCATTTTAATTGTTTCCCCATAGAGTTGATTACATTGGCTGCTGACCTGGCGAGGTGAAGTGTTGAACAGCAGGTGCTGGGGCAGCTTGTCTTCACTGTGGTGTTCCTGAGGAGCACAAAGAAAGGCCTCTGGGTGAAGGGTGCCAAGAAATCAAACATTGTTAGAAAGCAAATGTGGGTTTCCTTGCTCTGCAGCTGTGCTTTGTCCTGAACCCCACAGTGACAACCAACTCCATGTCCACCTCTGCTGTGGAGACAGGCTGAGAGAGTTGGGATTGTCCAACCTGGAGAAGAGAAGGCTCTGGGGAGACCTTGGAGCCCCTTCCAGTACCTAAAGCGGCTCAAAGAGAGATGGAGGGGGACTTTGGACAAGGACATGGAGTGACAGGTTAAGGGCAAATGGCTTCACACTGACAGGGGGCAGGGTTAGATTAGAGATTAGGAAGAAATTCTTCCCTGTGAGGGAAGGTTTGCCCGGAGAAGCTGTGGCTGCCCCATCCCTGGAAGTGTTCAAGGCCAGGTTGGATGGGGCTTGGAGCAACCTGGGCTAGTGGAAGGTATCAGACCAGAGGGGATGAGATCTGCATGTGTTGTATTGAAGGAGGTCTTGACAATTCATCAAGGAAGTTCTCCATTTCCATCAGGCCTGGGTAAGTCTGTTGAAGGTAATGGGAGTGTTTCTGTTGGGTTCAGCAAGTTTTAGACCAGATGGAAGATATGGAATGGCCCATGTGCAATAATTTCTTCATCTCTTTAACCCATTACTAACCAAAAGCCACTGGCAATATTTATTATGACTGGTATTTAAAATGCCGGGTGACACCCACTCTCTTCAATAATATCTCTTACAAGCAGTGAAAGCATTCATGGAAAGGAATCAGAATTCCTTTCCTTCCAGTGTTGAGCCCACTGTGCTCTCCTGGCTTCCTTTTGGCCTGGAGGAGACAGCGTGGACCACCATGTGCACACATCCTCCATGGTCTCACCAGCTCTCCTTTGTGCTCTGCACTGGGACTTCCCATGCCTCCCTGACATTTGTGATCTCAACTCTGAGGCATGACCAGCCTTCCAGAGAGGGTTGAGTTGCCCATTTTAGTCCAGCTCTCTTGGCAGAAGGGTGAGGTGTTCAGTGCTTGTTGAAACACCTGCTGCCTGGGCAGCATCCATTGTCCTTTGTGCACTGGTGACTTGAGGTACTGGGTGCTGGTTCCAGGTGCATTTTGACATGTTCAAAGCCCTTGGCTCTCCCCAGGGCTGTGTTGCCTTTCTGCTCAGCCTGACAGGGAGATGCCAAGAAAAGCAGAGTTCCAGCCACATTGTGCATTTCCACTGAAGGCATCCAGAGAGCTGTGTCAAGAGAAAATATGAAGACAGAGCAGCCTGCCAAGGGAGAGCAGGATTTACAGTTCTACACTGATGTGCACAGCCCACTGAGAGGCAAGAAATGTGTTCAGAAAAGTAAATCCATTGAGGAGGTTGTAACCCCCAGATTAATCCCTTGGGGCCATGGAAGGTGTTTCATGGGATCTGACTTTGGTAGGGACTTGGACACGGCCTAGAAAACTCTCTGAGAAATGAGTCTTTGCTGTGTTTTAGAGCAGCAGTTGGGAATTTGCCCCTGTGATTCCTTGTTCCAGCTCAAGTGGTATCAGCAGCTCTCCCTGAGACTGGGGATTTTCTGGGGAGCGTTATTATCACTTCCAGCAGTGCAAGGTTGGGGATAAGCTGCCACCGTGGTACTTAGAGGTGGATTTTCTCCTCCTGAAGAGCTGTTCTGGACCTGATGATGCCTGTGGAGGCTTAATTAGATGTCAACTCAAAGCATAATGACTGATCAAGTTACTAGCACAAAAGTGTCTTTCTGGCATGATGTGCTCCTTGTTGGGAGTTATCCATAAATCTTGCACTCCTGTTAGATAAGATGTAAATCTCCCTGTCTGGGCTTAGCAGCAGGCCACCGAGCACAGCACTGGGAGGGAGGTAATGACAGATTAAACCTCATCACACGTTTTATACAGAAGTGAAGAGAGGAAATAAATTACTCGGTGCTGCAGTGCCGTATGGGGGGGGAGCTCCCAGAGCTGGGCTCTGCTGGGTGGGATAGCCAGGAAGGGACAGGTGAGGGCACAGTGGTGACCTCAGGGGCAGCCACAGTGACAGCAGCATGACCAGCCAGAGGAGAGCTCTGTGCAGCCTGTCTGCAGTCCAGTGGGATGTGTGGATCTTCCACAGTGGGACGGGGATTCGGCTGGGGAGGAGAAGACCATTCTCTGAGCAGGCAAAGGTTCTTTTCAACCTCTCTCCAACTCTGCCTGAAATCAGTAAGAATATTACTGAGATTATCACAGTTCCCAGTGGGTTATCCCTTAGATGATCTCTGTCTTCCCTCAGTGTTCTTACAACTCCATGGACTTTTACACGGTGGGAGCTGCTCATCCGAGAGTCCCTGCGTATCCCCAAAAGCAGGATTTACCATTGCCCATCTTAGGTTTCTCCAAACTCTCTGCTGCTCTGAATGGAAGGGATGTTCTGCAGAAAATGGAAGCAGAGGAAGCTGAAAAAAAAAAAAAAAAAAAAAAAAAGCCTAACGTCAAAACCATCAAAGGTATCTCAGGGTGAGTGATGAGCTGCAGCCTCGCACCAGAACCGGGGACAAGCAAACAGAAGTAGGAGGTTGGGAAGTGTCAGCCTGGAGGCAGCCACGAATCACTCCCCACTAACAAGAGGGATATTAAAGCTGGTGATTTTCTGCATGGTTGTGTCTACAAACACAAGGAGAAACTATAACTTAAAGGCAACAAAGCGCGTCGGCTCCTGCCTCGGCACCGGCTGGGGTGGATGTCGTGGCTCTGCAGAACTGGGGGTTGGCTCCCAAAGTTGGGGTGCCCAGCTTTTGTCCACATTGTCCTGAGGGAACCCCAGAATTTCTGGGGGGTCAGAGCTGGCCCTCCAGCCTCCAGATCAATGCTGGGTGGGAGCGTGGAGAAGCTTTGAATGCCGTAACACCTTTTTGCCAATTTTTTTTTTCAAAATTGGTCTTTGTGGTGTTTTTGCTAGGAAGAAACATGTTATGAAATTTAAAAGCAGTTTTAAATGGAAAGTTTAAACAAGAAGGGAAGAGAAGAGGTTATGATATCAGTGAGAGGTCACTGCACTGTAAGCATCTAAGCCCAGGCATAGGCTCTGACATCCTCCTGTTCTCAGCTCTCCTCCCCTGTTTTTCCCACAGGATGAAGGTGAAAGGTTTCTGTTCCCTGGTGATCTCGCTGGTGCTCTCCCCAGGCTCAGGGCTCTTCATGGCTGTCTTAATCCAAATGACCATGCCTGGGAAAAGGTGAGTGGAAGCTGGTGCCAGCAGGGCTGGGGGACTTGCTCACCCCCTGGGTTTGTCCTGTGCTGACCAAGCTTTGCTCTGAGCAGCTTTATAGGAGGAAACATGGAAATTGCTTTGGCTGCAAACCTGACAGCCAGAGGGTGGCTGGGGCAGGACACCGCAGGCACCCCCAGGTTCAGCTCCAGGAACTGCCACATCACCCTCATCAGCAAATTAATAATTTCCACCCACAAGCTAAAACAAAAAAGACTCCATCACCCCTTGGTGAGGCTGTGCTGCCCTGCACTGTCAGAGCCAGCTGGGCATGGCTGGGCAGAGGCCACCTGTCCTGAAGGAACTGATCCCTAAATAAACCACATTTGCACCATCAGGATGCAACATCCTCACCTCCTGGAGGAGGGGGGTGCAAGAAGGGGACCCCCTGCTCCACAGGGTGCATGTGTGTGAGGGGTGGGGAGTGTGTCTGCAGTTGAAGGACCTCAGGACAAGCCAGGACTCACAGGATGAGTTAGATTCGGGCTGGTGTCGGGGTTTATCAGCTGCTTCACAGATATTGATCCTGAGCCTATAGCTCACTGACTGCTGGATAATTCCTTGTCATTAGCAAGTCAATAAACAGCTTCGATCCTGCTTTCATTGAGCCAACATGATTTGAGCATCTTTTCCTATTGACAGGGAGCTGGTGCAGAGCTGAGGATGTCTTTGGAAAGACAGTTGCATTTTTAAGAAATTGCCCTGACAAAAACCCATCGGGAAGGCAGGCTCTGAGGATCCTGCCTGTTCTCTCTGTGACCTGCCAGACCCACAGTGATTTGTTCTGCACCACCTGTAAGGAATAATTCTCCTTGGGGGCCCTCAGAAGTGAGGAAGGGGCTGTAAAACCAACTCCCCATGAAAACTGGGGTTTATGGTGCCTCTCTTCATGTTGCTGCAAAAATGAGCAGTACCAAGCACATATTTTAGAGAGATTTCCCTAATTGTTCTTGCATTAGCTAATAGACAGTTGAACAGATTGAGACTCAGTTCCCTTGAGAAGAACAAAAAACGAACCCAAATATCTGTATGCAGCCCTCCTAGGGAAATCAAGGCTGAGAATCTTTGGGGCCACCTACTTAATTTTTCTTGGAACAACTCCACTATCATGTAACTGGTACTTGGTGCCATGGAGCACTTAGTGGAGGTGCAGCTTTATCCAGTGCTGTCCCCTGGAGCCCTACACAGACCCAGCAGCCCTGATCCTGCAGCAGCAGGGATGTACCTCAGTGGTCCCAGAGGGATGACAGGGCAAAGCCAGCCTGTGCTGGCTCACAGATCCCCACAGAGGCTGTTTGCTAAGGCAGAAAGGTCAGGTTGGAATGATGCCACCAGTGGGAGAGCACAGCAGATCCACCTCATTTTCCAGCCATGGCTCAAGACGTTTCACCCAGCCTGTCCTGGTCAGAGCTTGCTGACCTCCTGCTAATGTCAAGGTCTCAGATGCTTCTGGGGGTTACGTGTCCCTTACTGTTTGCCTGACCTCTCCATTTCAGGTGATCCAAGCAGGGAGAGCTGATGTGAACCTGTCTGTTCACATCACTCCTATTCTTCTCCCATTGACCAAATCCGTTCTGGTTTGCTCCATGTTTCCTTCCTCACTCGGTGATTTGGCTTTGTGTCCTCGGGGGCTTTGAAAGTCACTTCAGCGAGACCTGGACATCAGCACGTCATTCTCTTTACTGGAATCTGCCTCGGCTTCTCCAAAACAGTGAATGGTCAGAGACCTCTTCATTCAGCAGCTGCTGGGGAGAGGCCAAGTTACTGTCATGCCTGAAAGGTCAGTGCACAGGAGCTATTCCCGGGGATGCCACCCTGCCCCTTCCCTGTGCACTGACCAGTATCAAGGCTGTCTTTATGATAATTCAGGTTTCGGATGGTGGTTGCCCCGAGCGTAAAGTGATTCATGATGGATGATAACGTAATATCACCTTGTTAATGCTGTCTTCCATCTTATCAGATGTCATGATCTTGCCATGACAGGGGGCTTTGTGCTCTGGAGGTCCTGGCTGATCGGGTTGCAAGGAGAGTGACAACTCCTTCAGTGTTTTGACACCTTTACCACCCCTACCCTGGCCTTCAGGTAACCAAGGTATTTTTATTTCAGACATTTTTTTAAAGCTGGTAATAATGTGTGACAAAAGCTGGCTAATCTGCTGGAGATATTTATTTCCAAGTTTGCAGAAAGTATTAACTCTCAGCACGGGTTTTTCTGGACTATTTTTCATCGGAACTGGGGAGCAACCATTCATTCCCATCCACCCTTGTCATCAGTGAGGACACTGGGGAGTGAACAGTTCACCCCTGTCCCCTTTGGCTGGTGTGTTGTCCCCCACAGCTTTTGCTATGCAGGTCAGGATGTGCTCCACGCATGGGGACCACATTTGGTCTTGGGCCCACAGAGGAAGGTTTCTTTTCCTTGCCCCAAAGAGCTGCTGCTCTGGTGCAGTGGCTCTGTGTGTCCTGGGCAGCAATCAGGGCAGGGGACTGAAGGGAGCTGTGGGGAGGAGGCAGAAGACCCTGCAGGACATCTGTTGCATGGGGTGGTGTGGCAGGGAGGTGCCTCTCTTGGTGTGCCCAAGGGATCAACAACCCTTCCAGGACTTCAAAAACACCCCAGATCAGCCAGCTCTGGCCTGGGAGTTCCCTGGCTTTGTGAGCAGTGCCATCAGCCTCTCAACAACATCTCCCTGTGAAAGCATCCCAGCTCCAGTCCTCTGGAGTGCTCTGAGCAGGGGAGATGGACCTGGGAGCAGTGACATGCCAGTTAGAACAGGGCAGCATTTTCCAGTCTCTGAAGAGTCTGTCAGCTCAGGGTATCTGCTAGGCTGTGACACCTGATCAATGCACCTCGTCATGGTGTCACTATTCCTTCCCAACTTCCTTTCCTCAGTTATCAGACAGATCATGAGCTGTTCCAGTCCCTGGACAGGGGTTGTTGGCTTTAATAAATATTGGGTTCAGTCACAGGCTGGAGGCAGGTTGGATGGGAGTGCTGGGCATGTCCTGCTGGCCTGGACAGCAAATACCTGTCTGTGTTACTATCTCTACCTGTCCTCACATTGAGAAAGGTGCTGCCTGGTCCTTCATTTATCACCCACAATATGTGGCACATCCCCACTCATGGGCTTAATGATCAGTAGTCTAGCCCCAAAAACTGCAGAAATACTTAACAGGCAGAGGTAGCCAGTGTTTTGACACATATTTTAGTCAAACCCTCAATTTTATTTGGGAAAAAAAGAGAAAAAATAAAGGTATTTTATCAGGGCATGACATCTCGGCCACGTCCACACCTTGACAGGCTGAAAGGATGATGTACCAAAACAGGCACCCAGAGCTGGCTGAGTCTGTGCCTACAGCTCGTTGCTCAATGATTTACCTAACTCCTAATATCTCCAAGGAAATATTTGCAGTGGAAGTCACCAGAAACCAAATACTGTTTGTTTTGCTCCCCATCAATTATTATGTATGTCCTAAGTGACAACACTTGCTTTTTTTCCCATTGTGAAGCTCTATATATGAAGATCCTTGATGCAGGTCATCCTCAGAAGACAGGGACACCGGCTGGAGAGAGCCGTCATCCTCCAGAGCTCGGTCAGGTAAGAGCAAACTTACTCCTCAAAAAGTGTGCTCTCTCCTCCTGCTTGTGCAAACCCTCAATACTCCTTTGGGAGCGTTGGCTTTTCAGCAAAAATTGTTATTCTTGCCTGCTGCCTGCCTGAATTATGCTCCAACAGGTCAAATGTGCAGTGCCTTTCACTGAGGGTTTCTCAAGAACAGATGTGCATGTTCACTGGATTTGTAGTCCTTGCAGAGGAAAGGGTATTTCAGGGTTTTCATAAACAATTATCACTTAAATTATCTTTGGTACAACTCTATTATCCGAGATAGATTTCTAGCTAAGGAGAATCAGACCTCTCACACTTGTTTTGATCCCTTTCTGATGAGCTATTTACATTTAAATAGATTTGGGGCAATGAAGTTTGTTTTAGTTCTTTTTCAAAAAAAAAAAAAGAAGCTACTTCAAGTTTTAGGTCACACAGAAACATTTCAATGACACCAAAACTTTAAAAATTATTTTCTGCCTCTTAGAATTTATCCTCCTCCTCCTTCCTCCTGCCATGGGCTGGTGCTCACTCTCCCAGCACTGCACTGATGGCAATCACTTCCCACAGTTATCAGGACCGAAGATGTCGGCATTCTGGACTGTTTTCCTCCTCAGCAGTCTGCTGGCCCCTTCACAAGGATTTATACTGCCATCCTTGGTTTTCAGAGGAGATACAGATGGTAAGTGTATGTAGGAGACAGAATTTCTCCTTTTTTTGGCTCCTTTTGTCTCTTGATGATGCTCAGAAAATCAGAAGCTGGTCCAGATCCACCCAGCAGTAGTGGCAATGCTGGTAATTTGCATTTATAAAGCACTTTGGAGATGTCTCTTCAGACACTTTACAGTGGCTGGTGCCATCAGGTCATGTATATGAAGGAGAGTGGAGGGGAAGGAACAGCCAGGCTGGCACAACTTGTGTGCTGAGTCCACGTAGCTCACAGTGACCTCCCATCCTATTTTTCAGGTTTTAAAGGTTCACCAGCTGGACGTGTTCCCCAGAGGCCTCAGGGTGGTCTCCTTGGTGGCAATCTGCTTGGTGGTCTCCTGGGCAAAGATGGTGCTGTAGGCAGCCTCCTTGGCAAAGATGGAGTTGTTGGAGGCCTCCTAGGCAAAGATGGTGCTGTTGGCAGTCTCCTTGGCAAAGATGGTGCTGTTGGCAGTCTCCTTGGCAAAGATGGAGTTGTTGGAGGTCTCCTTGGCAAAGATGGAGCTGTTGGGGGTCTCCTTGGTGGAGATGGTCTCCTGGATGGTCTCCTTGGTGGAAGTGGTCTCCTTGGTGGAGATGGTCTCCTGGGTGGTCTCCTTGGTGGAGATGGTCTCCTTGGTGGTCTCCTTGACAGGGATGGTGTCCTTGGTGGTATCCTCGGCAAAGATGGTGTCATTGATGGTCTCCTCGGCAAAGACGGTGTCGTTGACGGTCTCCTTGGCAAAGACGGTCTCGTTGATACTCTCCTTGACACTGTCCTCGAACTTCTCATTGGCAAAAATGGTCTCCTTGGCAAAAATGGTCTCGTTGGCAGCCTTCTTGGGAGAAATGGTGAAGAACTCATGGGGTGAGTGAGAGTGGGAGATGGATGGCCCTGAGCAGCCCAGAGTGTCTGGGCCATCCTTGGGAAAGGAGGTTCTAGTTTGGAGCCTGCTGTTTGCACGCACAGGGCCCCCTCTTTCCCTTCCTGGGGCAGGTTTTTAAGTAGAGGTTCATCTGTTGGGAGTTTCTGCCTGTGCCTGCCATGTCAGGGTGCCTGGTATGGGCCACAGGCTGCTCCTGGCTGCTGGGGATCTCTGATGGCCCAGGGTGGAGAGGACCCCAAGAACATGGTTCTAAAATCAGCCACAGTGCTGGGGGCTGAGGGGACAGGGCACCCACTGTACAAATGTGCTCTTCACTGCCTTTTCCTTGTTTCAACCACCCAGACTGAGGATTGTGAACAACACTCTCCCCAAAATTAGCCTGCGCTCCCTGCCAGGCTTTGGGCACCAGGTGGACTTCAACACCCAGCTGCTGGTGGAGAGCACCAGGTATGTCCCATCCATCTGGGGCATGGCTCAGGACGGGGGGGTCATCGTTTCTTTGGAAAGTAGGTGGTCAGCAGACTTCCTGACCTGCACGCTGTGCTTCCCCCGGGCAGTGTGCCGGGCCAGCCGCTCTGCGAGCAGGTGGAGGTAGACGCGACCATGCTGGTCCAGGACACGTGGACAGCTCAGCAGAGCAATATGAACTGCAGGACTGTTGACATAAGCATCCACGTGAGGTAGGAATCAGGTGTGAGGTAACACCCCTGTGAGTGGGGTGCCCGTGGCTCCTGTGGCAGTGGGACACCTTGGTGCTGTCGGACATCGATGGCAGTGCTCTCCTTTCTGATGCCCTGGTGGGTGAATTACCCATCTGCCAGGCTTGGAGGGAAACTACCACCCTTTTTAAAAAAAATTGGGCTAAGAAAAGAACATTTCGGGGTGCTGGGAACCTGGCCTTGGGTGGGATTCAGAGGGATTGGGTTTGGTAATGTTTTGGCTCTGAATGTTGGACAATGCAAGGGAGGCCTCATGTTTCCCTTGTGTCAAACACTTTTACTTTCCAGTACTCACCTATGTCCCTTGTTATTTCCTATTTTCCTGCTACCAGTCCCAGAGTGCCAATTCTGGATGAGCCTTTGAGACGCCTCCTTAGTGATGCCCTGAGTGACCTGGTGAGTCTGCACAGCCATCCTCACACGAGCCACCAGCACAGTGCTGGGTGGGCAGGCAGCACAGGCAGTGCAGGCAGGGCAGGCAGTGCAGGCAGGGCAGGCAGGGCAGGCAGTGGGCCAGGCTGCTCCATGGATGTGGCTGTTTGCACAGCTGTGGGCTCAGCTGGGGCGGTCAGCCTGTCCTCCCTGCTGCAAGACACCAGCACCATCCCCCATGCCAGGCTCTGCTGGCAAACAGATTCCTGAGGCAGGTGCTGGTTTAGCAGCCACTAACCCAGGTGAGACCCACGCTGGCTCAGAGGGGCCACTCACCCACCCCATGCTGAGTTCTGTGTGATGGGATGTCCCACCCAGCAGTGCCCGCAGTGGCTCTGCCCGCCTGTGCAGCCCCTCAGAGCCCGCTGCCACTGGCTGTGTTGGTGCCACATCACCCACTGCTGAGGCAGGTCCCAGGACCCTCTCACTTCCCTCTGCCTCCCCAGGGCTGCAACATCCTCAGTGCCAGGCTCAACGTGGTGAACTCTCTGCTTGGCTCCAGGAACCGTAAGTGCTGGCATCTCCTTTCCCTCTGCTTCTGGTGATCCCTGCCATTGCAGCTGAAGGACTTTCTTCCCTGTGTCCACAGAGATGCTCCCGCTTGGGGCTCTGGGGGACCTGCCCCCCTTCTCCATCCTCAGCAGTGACTCCATCCAGCTGGATCTGAACGTAAGTGCCCCCATGTTGCCTGGTCCCTGCTAATGCCACTGCTGTGTCTCTACCTGATTTTTTTTTACCTGTTAATCCTTGATGGTGGCATGAGGCAGAACGGCTTGATGCTCATTAGCTATTAGTTAAGCATAATTGTAGCACTCTCGTCGTTGTTAATCAGGAAGGTTTAATTTCATGCAGGAGCAGCAGTCACTGCTCACAGGAGTGTTCTATTTATAAGTGGTTTGTCAAAGTCTGGAAATTGATAGGGACCGTAATCAGACCCAAAAATATCAGCAGTGTGTCTTTCCAATTGGGAGACACTGCAGCATTTTAACTGGGAAGGTGTAGCAGATGCTGCCTTGTCTGTGCCAGAGCAGCCTGGAGCAGCCCTGTGTTCATTAAAGTGCCAGCAAACCCTGTGTGAGCCTCTCCACAAGGTCCACGGGTGGGCAGGGTGCCCAGTGCAACCCTCTGAGCACCACCAACACCCCTCCCCTCTCTATCCCATATAGCTCCTCTCCGGGAATGCCGAGGGTGGCATGGTGGCCTCCACTCAGCAGCTACCACTCGCTGCCACCCTGCTGCTGGCCACTGGCCGCCCACCACGGCTCAGCCTCTCCCAGGACACCCTCAGCACCCTGCTGGAGCAGGTCCAGGGGCAGGGAGCCCTCAACCTCAGCATCACCAACTGGCCGATGAGCAGCCCATCCCCTCTCCAAGGCCAGGTCGGTGTCCTGGTTGCTCTTGGGTGCAAAATGCTCGCTGGTGGCTGCTTGTGTTTGTGGGGTCCAGCTGAGCCCAGCGTGGGCTTGGCACAAACCCTCCTGGCCAATGATGTCCCTGGTGCTGTTCCTGCAGGTTCCCGAGAGCGGCTCGCTGTCCGTGTCCGCCCTTTTCCCGTTCATCCCCCAGGTCAGTCACTTCCCCTGTGTGCATTGATTCCAACCCCTCCACCCACCCCAACCATGCAAATACCCCCTTACCCTGTCCTCCTCTGCCCCTGCAGCTTGCCCAGGCCCTTCCTGGCTCTCTGCCACTGGAGCTGCGTGTTCGGATGAGAGATGAGCCGGTGGTGGCTGTGAGGGATGGAAGAGCCACCGTCACCCTCAAAGCCGCTGTTGACGTCCTCATTCCTGCCCTGCAGACCTCCCAGGGGCTCCTCTTCTCCCTCGACTTGGTGAGTGAGCTCTGGGGGATGAGATCTCCACAGAACAGGGCACTGGCTGAGGCTGGCTGCCTGCTGGCATCCTCCTGGCTTGCCCTGCCCTTGGCTCTGCGGTATTTGTGCTTTTGAATTTACTGCATCGTCAAAACGGTGGTGCTCAGTCCTTTAAGCACGCTCGTAACCAAGCACAAAGTGTAAGTAAAATGTTTCAGGAACAACATAATATAAAGATAGGAAGGTGAACCCTGGGGAGAGAGATACATGATGCCATCCGTCACAAAAATGTGGCTTCTAGGCACAGACAAGTGTTTTTTCTTAGAATGAGTAATTTACAAATACACTTTCCCGTCCTGGGAGCTGTGCAGGGGAATAACCTCATTTCTTTCATTGTTCCATTTCCAGGACATTGTTCTGAACGTCACCCCATCGGTCTCTGATGGTAAACTGCAAACCTCCCTGGCTCTTGACAGGTAGAGACAAGCTCTGCAGGTGGCAGGGCTCTGCCTGGGGACCAACAAATGGGGCTGGGGGCAGTGATGGGGGACAGTGATGCAGACATGGTAGAGATGCCATGGTAGGCTGCCAGAGCCTTCCTGCCTCCTACCAGCCCCAAACTCAGACCAAGAGCACGGCTGAAGTGATGAGACAGTTGTAAAAAAAGTTGTCCTATTTTTAAAATTCAGTATCTTTCTGAGGGTGAGACAAATTCCAGACCACAAAAGGGGTGTACCTGATGCACCCCAACTCTGCCTTGTTTTTATCTTTTGTAGCATCAAGGTGACACGGTTCCCCCAGAAACTCGACCCTTCCACCGTAAGTGCTTGCACTGGATCGGGGTGCTGCAGTGAGTGATGCAATGGCCAGAGGGTCTGTGCAGGGGAGGAAAACCCAAAATCCAATTCTTCTTCAGTCCTCACCTTTTTTCTTCCCCTGGTAGAGGCCAATTGCTCTCTGCCCTGCCAATCCCCCATGCCCTACAGCAATGACACTTGAGTGTCTCTCTTCACTTGGTGGCAGCACAGTGGGGGTGCTGGAAAGCAAAGAGGAATAATCAAGAAGAAATTACCCCAAAAGCATGTCCCTGCAGATCTCACCTCAGTCCTGGAAAGGTTTCACTGAAGGAAGCTTCCCAGAATCTGTGTTCCATAGCAAACTGAGTAGGACTCAATTGATAACCCTGCCATGGCTGGTTTCAGCTCAATAACCATTACTCTCTCCTGCTACTGACACATCCTCTTCCCTGCAGGTCTCCTCGCTCACAGAATGGCTCAAGCAGATCCTCATGGCTGTATATGTACCTGGTGTTAATGGTATGGTGGGGTGGGGTCCCCTCTTACCTCAGACTCAGGCAGATTTGGGGCGCTGCCCCTCCCCTTGCTGCCTGTGTTCAGGGTTTCCTCCCCGTGACAAGATGCCTTCACCTATTCTTGCAGATGCCGTCCATGTGTCGCTCCCTCTGCCCAACGTCCTCAACACCAGCCTCAGGAACGCTGAAGTCACCATCACTGACGTAAGGATTGCATTTCCCACCACGCTGTGCCCTGGGGAGGGGGGATGTGCCCACCTGGGGTTGGGATCCCTGTACAGCCCCACACTACCCTGGCCAACCCCATTTCCCCTGGGCTGCTCCCAGTTTCCAGGAGGTCCCTCTCTGCTGGTGTGGACTCACAGGAAAACCTCACCTGGGACGTAGGAAAACACAGGTGAAAGTTGGAATGAGAAAACTGAGTAGTTTTTTGTGCTGCATTTTCCAGGCGGATGAGTTTCCCGGCCAGACCTCTCTGGAGAGATACTGCTCGGGAGGAGCCTCGATGCTGTTCCCTTTCTGAGGCAGCACATCATGCACCCCGAGCCTTCCTCCACTCCCTCCCTGCTCCTTTCCCTCAAGCACTGCCCTGTGCTGTGGGTGTGGCCTGAGCAAGACAGGCAATTGCCTCTGGCTGGCATCGGGGTGGGAAAGCTGCTAGGCTGGTGGATGTTGGGGGGCTTCTGTGGCCCCTTTGAACATCCACAGCTCTTCCTTAGGCAGAAAGATTACTCTTGTATTACTCTTCCAATAAAATCCCTCGCTGCCTCAGTATTTCCCTTTTTGGATATTTATTTATATGAGTTCTGGCTGCCAGCACCTGTTTGCACTGTGTCCCTCTGCCACACGGCCCACGGAGGGGTAGCACAGCGGGGTGAGGAGGCTGCACCTACAACCAAGAAACTGGTGCCTTCAGAGAGCATTTCTGAAGCTCAGCCTGTGACACCAGGGGTGAAACAGCCACTCACAGGGGCGCTGGGTTTGGTGCAGGTGGGTGCCCTTGTGCCCAACTGATGGAGGGCAGAGAGGGGCTTGCTATGCAGCACTGGAACAGATGTAACAAAGCTCCTGCTGAATCTCCCACTCCCTTGGAGCCCTCGTTCCAGCCTCTTGCTGGCAGCAGATCCCACGAGGAGCCTGAGGGCGCTTGTTGCGAAAGGCCCTGTCCAGAACCAGGCAGGGATAACCCGAGCTCACACCTCCTTTGTTTGGAGGCATATTATCCCCTTGTTGTGTAAGATGCACCAGGTTGCCCAAAAAAAAAAGCACATTCGATCTCACAAAGGTGTTAAGTGTGGAGGGCACCTGGACAAAAGGGCCCTTGTAGCCTGGAGTGGCCAGGGAGGTGTCCCAGCAAGCACAGGGACTTTTTGGAGGCTGTGGAAGTATTGTCTGCTGGGAAGGAGCTGGCAGCTGCAGGGTGGGTGGGACAATCCTCAGGAACCACTCTTGGAGGTTCCTCGAGCACTAAAGGAGAGAAAAATCTCCTGGCGCTTTTCCGAAGCCTCCCCATGAGCTTGCTGGAAAGCTAAAAAATTCCCCCTGATGTGGTAAGTTGTGTGTGCCAGCTGGTGTGCGAGTGTCAGCAGGGAGTTCTCTGGAATAAGATGATTTCCCAGCATGGCTCTTTCAGATCAGCACAGCCTCACTGTTACAGCCACAGAATCTTGGGCTCCTTTTCCTTCCCTTTAGCCCTGGGCTCTGGGGTAACGGTGCTGCCTGATGCTGGGTGCCCAGTGACCTTTTGCTCAATGTTTTTCCCTGGTTTACAAATCTTTATTTACAGTGGAATAGATGAAACCCCAAATGCTGCTTTATGCCCTCCATCCACCACCCCAGCTTTGACAATTTAAGCATCTTTCCACTTTTCCTGCAGTAGTGTCACTACATAAGGACCCACAGAAGTGCCCAAACACCAGCATAAGGTCTCACCCTGGCCAGGAGCTGAGCACTCCCATTTTACCCCCAAAATTTATGATATACTCTGGTGAGCCAGAAAAAAACTCCCCTGTGAATAAAACCACTAACAGTAGGAACGCAGGTGAGTAATTCTGGTTTATATTTAGTGACTAGCCTGAAAAATTAGAAAAGAAGGTTGCTAATGAAAACCCTTCTCTGAAAAAAAAACCCATTCATTTGACAAAAAACTTTTGGGAGGTTTTGTGTAGCAATCTCCTTTTGAGGTTCTGGTTATTTTTATCATTATAAGGTTCAAATGTGCCATTTTAATAAGAAAGGATTTATTGCCAACGTGAGTCACTGATATAATTGGAGCCTTAATTTGCACACCTCCCCCCAGGGCAAGGGAGGCTCAGATTGGGCTGTAGGTTATGAGGAACCATTTCATACTGTATTAATGGTGCCACAGTGCCCAGGGGTGGAAAGGAGCCATTGCCCAAGGTGCCCATAAATAGGAATAAGCTGGGGTGGGCAGGAGCTGGCTGGAAACCTCCCTGCAGATGGGTGTCCAGATGTCCCCTCACCTCCCTGTGTGTCCCCAGATCCAGTGGCCCAATGGGGCTCAAACTCATGATGCCATCAGCCCTGGGCATTGCCCTCCTGGAAGGGAATTGTGCATGGAAGGGAAGAGCACAATGCTTTTGAGCAAACCTCCCGCTCCAAACTGAGCCTGGAGCAGGTTTTTTTATGTAATTAAAATTTCAACTGGCCAGACACCTCAAAGGAGAAAGCTTTGTGTGGGGTCTGGTGGCAAGTGGTGTGTCCAGCTCTTACAGGCTTGCCCGGGCAAGAACAATCCTCCAAGGTGCCCTGGGAGAGGTGCTGCTCCAGAATGGATATCCCAGCACTGATGGAAGTGGGGACCTGCTGGGTGGCCTCATAGGAGGTGTACTTGGTGGTGGTGTCCTTCTTGGCACAGGAAGGTGGCAGCCTGCTCAGCATCCTCGGGGAAGGTGGCTTGGACAGCACCTTCCAGGGGCTCACCAGGTAAGGACAGCACCGTCCGGGAGCCTTGCAGGGGAACAACTTCAGTGCTGTTTTGGGGGAGCAGTGGTGGGGCTTCGGTAGATGCTCGGGTCTGGTTTGGGGCCGATGCTTTGAGAGAAACGAGATAAAAAGCTGCCTGGGAATCCTGCAGGTTTGCATCGCAGAAGAACCGCCCAGAGAAGGGCAGAGCAGGCGGCAGCACAGAGGTGTTTGCCCATAGAGGGTGCAAGAGCTGCACGCTGGTGGCTGCTGCCGAACCGACACTCCCGTCCGCAGCCTACACGTTTAACTCTGCTTTGAAGCCCAGCAGAAGCAGAAAAACACGATAAAGCAAAAGAACTGAGCTTCTGACAAAACTGGAAAATAACTAAAACAGGGAAATAACTGAGAAAACTCGGTATCTTTTGCCATTTCTGGTCTAACCGGTCTCTGACTCGCCCGACATTTCCATGGAGGGGAACATCCCAGCAAGGGTCAGGCTGGTCAGCACGGGCTGCCCCAACCTGGTGACAGAAAGGTGTGACACGCTCTTTGGTGGCATCAAAATCAGACTCCTGAGTGGATGAGTGACAGTGGTGTCCTCCTCTGACAACCCCACCCCTACAAATGACAAACAAATGAAGGCACTTCCCTGTTATCCATCTCCATCCCTCCATCCCTGCAGGTGACGGCCACTCACTGGAAGCGTCACGGGGCTGGATGAAGAGCTGGTGGTCTCTGTGAGCCCCTCACACAGGCACAGTGAACGGATGTGCTCTCCCAGAAGTCCCCTGGGACAGTTCTGTCCCATGTGCCACGTACACAGGTCATTTTAGCTGACATGGCGTGGGGTCTCTCAGACGTGAGCACGTGGTGTGTACATCGTAGGAGCCGCTCTGGCTGAGGTTGTTTCTGCTCATTTGAGGAGACTATACACTAGTAGATAAAAGGCAGCAATAAATTTCCCACTGGCTATTTTGGGATGCAAATTACAGTTATCTCATGCAAAATCCAAGCAGAAACGATTCACTTTGCTGCTGCAATTGCCTTGCTCCGGGAGGTCTGTGCTCGGCGCTATTCACAGGGAATTGTTTAACAAGACCCATTTACTTTGCAGCAGGTTGTTTTCATGGTGCTTCTTTATTTTTCCACAGCCTGCTCCCAATTGTGGATAATTTATTGGCAAGTGTCCTGAACAGACTTCTTCCTAATCTGGTAAATCAGAAAAAAAAAAATACATTCTGGGAAGGAATGATGAGTCTGAAAAGCTGCAGTGCAGCTCCCCATGGCATCACTGATGCTCAGAGCAGGAGCACAGTCACTATTCAGGGCTGCTGCATCCACCCATCCAGTGGCTTGGGATTAGTGAGGGATACATACCCTGTCTGCAGCAGCCTGGGAGATCTCAGCTTGTCCCTCCTTCTCAACACGACGTCTGCCCAAGTGCTGGGAGTTCCCAGTGGTGCTCCGTTACAGACTAATGGAGTCTCTCCTCCCTCATGAAAGCCACAGGGTCTCTCTAGCCATCCCCCATGGGGCTCCTGGGCCCCAATCCCAACCCCACTTGTCTGAAGAAGGGCACAGTGCCCAGGGACATACCCAGAGCTGGTGGAGTCCCCGTCAGGGGTGCCATCCCACGTGCCCGGTGCTCCCGTGCCCAGGGGAAGCCCTGCAGAGCCAAATGGGGCTGAGTGTCCTTCTCTGGCTCTGAACATGGGTTCTCACCATCCCACCCTGATTCCTGCAGCTCTGCCTGGTGGTTGACATCACCCTGGGACTTGTCAATGACCAGCTGGGACTTGTCCTGCCCTGCACCATGTGTCACCTCCGCTCCAGCTGCAAGAGGAATGGGACACCCCTCACTCTGCTGCTGCACCTTGGGGGGAAAGACCAAACCCCTCCATTTACCCTGCCCCCAGATCTGCCCTGTGCCAGGAGCAGGGACTCCCAGCAGCTCCCTGTCCGGAGCACAACCTACAAACCAGGGAGGAAAAGGAGCTGCCGGGCAATGAAGGGAGGATTTGCAGCTGAGTCCAACAGGGAAACACTGACACTCCCTTCCTCTCTTCCCAGCACTGGTGCCCCTGGGTTTGCTGGGCAGCATCCAGTACACCAAGTCCAGCCTTCCCCTGGTAATCAGCCAGTTCCTTGAGGTGGACTTGAACGTGGGTCCTGCATTTTCTCCTTCCATCTGTGCACAGGGGGTGGGGTGCACACCACAGGGGGTGGGGTGCTCTCACCACTGTCATGGGAGAGCGCAGCAGGGTTTGGGTTTCATGAAGTTCTGGAGAAGGAAGTGTCACGGGCCTGACCTGGCGAGGCCGTGCATGCAGCCATTTCTCACGTAGGGAATATGAAGTTAACCATAACAGCAAATATTGCAAACATTTTGACCTGTGTTTCCTTGGCTCACAGTCACCACCATGCTCAGGGGATGCTCTGGGGTCTGCAGAGAGGAGAGTGGGGAGAAAGAAACCTCTACCTGGCTGCCCTGGACTGGAACTGGTGCTGTTGGCAGAGCCCATCACCATCCACACCATGGCCAGACCAGCACCTGAGACACTCTTGGCCCCAGTGACTGCCCTCAGGGGGAACTGCAGTGGGGCTGGGTATGGAGGAGGATTTGTTGTTGGGGGTTGTTGTGTGCCAGCACACTACTGCTTTGCTCTGGGTCACTCTGGGAGAGCAAATCAAGAGAGAACCTGTGTGTGTGTGAGCAGCAACAGCTGCTTGAGCCACAGCCCATGCCCTGGCCACAGCCATGGCCATGTTGAGGAGCCACATGGCACTGGGCTGGATGTGCCTGACCCAGAGCATCCCCTGCCCAGGGACATGAGCCCCTGCCCAGCACTCAGGGGCTGCCTGGCTTCACCCTTAGTCCTAGCACATCTGCCCAGGTATGCACAGGGTGTAGGACGGGAGGAGCCCTTGGAGCAGGATGGTAGCGAGCCTGGAGAGCCAGTGGGCACTGCACCCAGCCTCAGGTGAGGGGTTGAGCTGCTAGGCTGGCTGGATGCTGCTGACCACAGCCTGGCACTGCTACACGCAGCACCCGGGGTCAAGCTGGTGCAGGAGTCACACTTCACAGCCAGCAAAGAGGAAACGTCCCCTCTCCATCCTTCCCTGGGCTTTCCTCATTCCTCACCTCGGGTATATAAAAGCCACTGCCAGCAGCTGTGACCGTGGGCAGCTCCACTGTGACATCAAAGGGTCCAGGTAAGTGGCACTGAAGGAGCGTGGCCACCGTGCCGGCTCCATCAGGCAACCTACGGCGCAGTGTAACTCAGCTTGAGAAGCAGGAATTTTAATGATGTTTTCCTTTGATTTCTGTAGCAGCATTTAATCATTTATGAAAATTAATTTTTAAAGCTAGCAGAGCTCTTCCTTGTTAAACTCCACGTTTATTCCTGTTGTTGTTAAGTTTGTGATAATGACTAAGCTGGCAGAAAAGGACTGGGAGTCTTTTTCATGGTCTCGGTGACCAGAATTCAGAGCAATTTTCAGCTTTCCAGACCTCGCCTCAGCTGGTGTAAAATAAGCGTTTATCTGCAGAGCCAGACGTGCCTTTTGCATGTGCAAGATGCTCAGCTCGCTGAAATGTGTGTGACCGAGGAGCAGCATCCCGATAGATATTGTTAATAACCGCAGAGATAGCTGCCTGCCTGGTCACGTATTCTCTCTAAGAACTCCTCTAAGAGCCCTGACATCCATTTTGGCACCCTCTTGCAATGCTGTTCACGTCTCGCAGAGCCCCTCCAACAAATCCCACTGATTTTATTTGACACGATTTTCAATAGAAGCTGCTCGAGCCTCTCTCCTTCTCTCCTGTTCAATAATCGTGGCTACAGGAGCTGTGCATCATTACGTGCTGATCAAAGGGAAAATGTAAAAGACAGTCGAGTGAATTAAAGTCTAATTTAATTGTGCCGAGAACTGTCATAGAGGGATTTTTTTAAAAGTATCTGGAAGAGATAAAGAAGTTGTTCAGTCTGACCTAAATAATGTTATTTCTCAATGCTGAACCTCTGCCATCTGCACCTGGCACGTTGTTTTCCTCAGGAGGGACAAGGCGGGGTTTCCATCTGGGACAGGGGCTGTGAAGGAGCTCCTGGAGCTGGAACCCAGGGCAGTGCTGCAGCAGGAGCCTCTTCTCCTTTCTTTTCAAACACCTTTCCGTGCATAAACAAACACTGCCCAGCCTGCATTGTCACCCTGAGAGGCAGAGTTTGGGCAGGAACAGGAGGTCCTTGAAGGTGCGCTGTTCTTTTGGCTCGGGGCAGATCAAACACAGGGAAAACGGGCTCTTTTCACTGCCTGAGTGAAGCAAGATGAGAAAAACAAACAATGTGACCACAGGAAAGTGAGTCTGATTCTGGCTGTGCTTTGGGCTGTAATAACTCAGGGTGCTCTTCACGGTGGGCAGAAGGACACGGCTGAGACGCTCGTCATTTTTTATCCGGCCGTGCCCCTCCGAGAGTTCCGCTTTCAGGGCCATTTCGGAGCGGTTGAAAGCCATCCATCTCTCTCAGCACAAGGTCATCCTCCCTCATCTCCATCCCTCTTCCTCTCTTAAGATGGCATTTTCACTTCCCTGTGGAATCAGGCACCCAGCTCTGCAGTGTTGGAGCCCAGACGTCGATGGCTCTGGAGCAGTGTGGCACTGGGCTCCAGCTACTACCTGATAAACAGCAGTGGTTCAACCTTCCTGGTTGGGAAGAAGGTGCTGCAGGCCTGGGCTGATCCCCTGGGGACTGGGGGATGGTTTCTGGAAGCTGTATGTCCAGTGGGAACCTCCCCCATCACCCCAGGGCAGTGCACGTGAAGGATGGGGAGCTGTACCTGTACTCAGGCTGCCTGTACCCATGTGCTGGAACTGCTGTGTGGGCTGATGTGGGTCTTTCCACAGGTGCCAGGTCAGGACATGCCACCCTTCTGGTGTCTCATCCTTCTCGGGGGCCTCCTGCCCCCCTCCCAGGGCCTCCTCAACCTGCTGAACCCAAAGCAAGCCATAGGTGGTGAGTTCAGATATTTTCTGTGTTTCCAGGGAAGGGTCATGGCCCAGTCTTGTGCCATTCTGGGCTCACAGTGTGTCCCTCTGATCATCAGGGAGCTGCCTCCTGGCAGGCTCATCTCTGTGGGGAACTCTGCTCAGGGATGCTCAGGGGTCCCTGTGAGATCCCACCAGCAGAGCAACCTAACGTGGCCAATCCAACCTTCCTTGTCAAAGGAATCTTCCCAGTGCTGCAAGTCTGATTAGTAACTGGGACTCCCTTGGTGCAGGTCTGCTTGGCACTGGTCTCACTGGTGGAAAAAGCGGATTGCTTGGCACAGGTGCTCTTGGTGAAGGTGGACTGCTTGGCACCGGCCTCCTGGGCAAGGCAAGTCCAAGTGGAGCAGAAAGCGGAGGTCCCCTTGAAGCAGCAAATGAACCCAGCAGATCTGGGGTCCTTGGCACAGGCCTCCTAGGTGAGGAAGGTCTGCTTGGCATGGGAGTGCTTGGGAGAGGAAGGTTGCTGGGCAGGGATGGCCAGGACAGTAACAGAGTTCTGACTGTTGCAGGAGGACAACCTGGCAGCGGTGGTCTGCTTGGCACAGGCATCCTTGGTGGAGAAGGACTTGGCAAAGGCATTCTTGGTGGGGAAGGCCTTGGCAATGGTCTCCTCAACAATGGTCTCCTGGGCAATGGCCTCCTTGGCAATAACAGCCTTCTTGGAGATAAAGGTCTGCTTGGCACAGGGCTGCTTGGGAAAGGAGGTCTCCCAGGCAATGGAAGTCTACTTGGTCTCAGTGGTCTTCTGGGTGAAGCAGGAGGACTTCTGGGTGGTGGAAACTCTCAGAAGATGTCACTCTATGCCTGGTGAGTCGGAAGCCTTTGTGGGGCTCACTATAGGGTGACCAGTAGTGTCCAGGGGATCAGACTCTCCCTGTCATACAAACCATCAGTCCTGGGCTCGCAGCTCACATGAGGATCTGTGACAGGGGAAATTCCAACCAGAAATGGGAAATGTCTTCCCCATGGGCAGTCTGGGAGGTCAGGGAATCTCCACCCTTGGAGGTGGTTGAGACCCAGCAGGACACAGCTCTGAGAAACCTGACCCTGCTTTGAGATTGGCTTTTCTTGGACGAGGGATTTGGTCCTTCCCCACCTTCACTTTTACCTGGGAATATCCAAATGGATAACAGCTCAGACAGTGAGCAGGAAGAGATGGGACTGTAGGGTCTGCTCCTGCTGATCCTGCCATCTCAAGGTGGGTTTGATTCTGTGTTGACCCCCAGGTTGAAGGTGCTGAACCTCGAGAACGCCCGAGTGTCATGGAGGGTCCTTCATGGGAGTGAACTGGTGCTGAACCTGTACTCGAAGCTGGTGCTCCGCTTTCCAGGGTAAGCAGGGCTGGAGATCGAGGCCATGGGGGCCTGAGGGCACTGGGGAGGGTGGGACACTCCCTGGCACTGGAGAAACACCCCCAAATGCTGAGCAAATCTGCAGGTGAGGAAAGCTCTGGACTGCACTGCTGCCTCTCCCTGCAGCCATTTCTGGCTGTCCTTACTCCAAAGGTGCTATCTGCCACCCCTGGAAGTGCTCAAAAACCCCGTGGGTGTGGCACTAGAAGACGTGTTTAGTGGTGAACACGGTGGTGGTGCCGGGTTGACTAAAGTCCTGTCCCAGCCCAGCCTGTGCTTGCAGCTCCATCTGCTTCTCTTTCCCTCACAACCCTCCACGCTGCTTCCCTTTTTTTCCCAGGATTTTTAACTTTCTGAGTGGATCCTCGGTAGAAACGAACATCACGTCGCACATCGCCGTGACCCAGGACACCCCCGGGGACCTCAAGCTGGTGGTTAAGGATTGCAACAACCTGCTCGGCGGCTCCAGCATCAACCTGCGGAAGGGGTGAGTGTGTGGGTGAGCTCCTGCGAGTTTGCACTGGGGCAGAACTTCCCAGAACAACCAGACTACGGGATCCAGATAACCAAGTCCTGAGCATCTGTAGTTCCTGCTGAAGCCTGGGGGAGCTGTGGGCTCGCGGCATCTTTTAACGCAAGAGGAGAGAAGACGAGGGGGGCTCCTCCACAGCTGCTGTTTTGTCCTGATGTCAAGTCCTAGGTTTTGACAACTTCCCTGGTAATTTTTGGTGTGTCCTTTCCCTCCCCAGCCTCCTCACCAACCTGGTGAGCAGAATGCTGAACTCTACTCTCAAGTCCCTTGTCCCTGCACTGGTGAGTGTCCGAATGTTCTTTGCTGTGAAGATGCATTTCAGCTGCAATCAGTGCTCCTGCCAGAACTCTCTGGAAGATTTACATACATGCACACAGAGGATCACAGAATGTCTTGGGTTGGAAAGGACCTTAAACATCAGTTATTCCAACCCCCCTCCCATGGTCAGGGACGATATATATCCACAATATACATACAATATATATTTATGCCTGCAGCCCATAAGTGAATTCCACAAAATTCCTTGATATTCCTTACAGTCAGAATTTACTTGTCAGGAGTAATTTCAATTCCATCATGCAATGTTATGGGATAATTTGTACTCAGCTGCTCCCCTGGCAGGGGGGGATGAGCAGAAGCAACAGCCCCGCTTAGAGCAAAGGGGCCTGTTAGAGAATCTCTTATCCTGTTCAGTAGAACCTGTGCTGTTTTAAGAAGAGGGCTGAACAAAGTCATATGGCTCTTTCTCCATGGAGGAACTGTGCTCTAGGAGCCGATTGTTCCAACCTGATTTAAGTCTGTGAAACTCAAGCCGTGCTGGGGGATGTGCTGCTGCACCCACAGTGTTCTCACCAAGGCTGTGCCACTCTTTGCTGTTGCAGCTCTGCCCGTTAGTCAACTTCTGGGTCCGCATCATCAACATTAATTTACAATTCCTCAACCGTAAGTCATTAAATTTTCTTTTCTGTATTGAGTGACACTTGGGTTTTGTGTGTCCAGTCACCTCCATGGGCAGCAGGAGTCCCGAGGAGAGCTGAAGCCATGGGAGCAGGAGTTTCTCTGCATGGAGCAGGAGCAGCTTTGCTCCGCCAGCAAAGCCACTGTGGGTGGCACAGTCCTGGCTCACCACCACTGCCAAACACCACAGTCCTGCTCTTCTCATGGGTGTTTGTCTAACCAGGGACAGGCTGAAGCTGCCACCAAGAGGTGGCTCTGCCAGGACCCCCTGCTGCAGCCCTGCAGAACCGGTGGGGTTTTCCCTCCCAGCATCTGTTCATGTCAAATCTCACACAGACATGATTGCTGCTTCACTGCAAGCAGAGCTGTCCCCATTTTACCCCCAGCGTTCCCCTTGTGGTGGGACCTGCATCTGGGAGTTCCTGGGCAGCAGCTTTCATGGGAACCTTAGAACCCCGGGAGTTCTGAGATCCACAGGAAGGACGAGGGGTTTTACTCCGTGATGGGCAGGACGATTTTCTCCCATCCTCTGCCAGACGCTGCGTGCAGAGGGCGCTGGCAGGCTCTGGGACCCACAGCCAGCTCTGCCCAGCCCTGACGGCCTCTCCCTGTCCCCAGGCGTCGTCTCCTTCGGGCTCCTGGGGAAAATCTACTCTGCGCTCTCCAAACTGCCCGTGACATCCGAGCATTTCGTGGAGCTGGATCTGCAGGTACGGCCCTGTCCCATCTCATGTCCCATCCCGTGTCCCATCCCACGTCCCTGAGCTGCTGCCCTCCCTCCACATTCACACACTCTTAACACCTCCTTGTTCTTTGCAGGATTCCCCATTCCCAAGCACCTTCATCGACTGGCTCCTCCAGAGTGAGTCTGTCTCCAGTGTCACTTTGGGCATCCCCACTGGTGTCCGTGAGCCAGAACAGGCCAGCTGAAAGGGGAACACCATCTTGGGTGGTGGCCAAGAGTGGGAAGGGGGGGTCCTCAAGGTTCTGGGCTGCAGACAGAGCTGCTGGGTGCTGGAGCATCTCAGAAGAGTCCCACAGAGCAATTGTACCCCACACAGCACAGAGGTGCTGGGGGTGGTTGGAGTGCCTGGTCCTCAGAGACATCCCCCAGCTCAGGTGTGAGCAGCTTTGCCATTGTGCAGCAGTGGCTGCAGCACAGAAAGTCTGTGCGCTCCTACTTATGCCCTGCACAGCCCCAGAAAAGTCACTTCACCTCTTATAAAAGGATTTAATAATATTTGCTTAATAGGAGTGAATAATGGTCCTCAGGATGCTGCGAGGATTAATTAATATTTGCAGAGGTGATTGGAAGAGCTTTCAGCTTCATATGCATGGAAAGTTAATATATAGGGGAGGGAAGGAAGAGTTGGAAGCCGTCCCAGCCTCTCCAGAGCCATATTCCTCAGGGCACTAAATCATCTCTGCCCATAAAGCTGAGTCCTCTCGGGCCACTGGCACGTCGGGCACTGCCAGGCCTGGCCCAGCAGTGGGGTCTGCCAGGGGGCTGGGGGGCTGGGGGGGCCTGGAGGAGGGAGTGCACTGACCTGGGTGTCTCTCCCCCAGCCGCAGGTGTCAATCCCGGGAGCAATCCATAGCTGCAGGCTGGAAGTACGTGGGGTAAGGAGGATTTGCTGCCTGGGGACCTGGCTCAGAGCTCTGCTGCCAGTTCTGCCAGCGCTGGTGCCTGGGCTGGGTGGGATGAGTCCTGACCCTGCTGCCTGGTAGCAGGAGGTGACAGGGACAGCACAGGGCTCTCTAAAAAACCTCATCTCTCCAGGTGCCTCCACAGGCGATTCCTGAGGAGGAGGAGGGAAGGGAGGAAGATGACTTGATGCGTGGAGAATAGACATGAAAATGGAGAAAACCCACCAAGAAAACACATTTTCTTCTGCTCTACTTCTCAGACTTAGGTGTCTTTTTACAGCCCAGGTTTATCTGTGCCAGTGGTCAGCCGTGTCAGTGGTTAGCTGTGTCGGTGGTTAGCCATGCTGATGACACTGTGACTACACAGGCAGGAGCCCCAGGTCTTGCCTCTGTGCTCTCCTGGTTCTCACGGCCACAAGCCACTTGTTATGGCACTCACTGATGAAGGGAACACCTTCACCCCCTGTTTCTTTCTCACGCCAGTTTGGGTCAGGTAGTGGCTCAGCACAGAGGGGATATTCCAGGTGCTGGATGCAGACACCTGGGCTGAAGGCAGGAGTTTGGTCCCCTCACAGCCACCCCTCAGGAATTTCAGGAGTTTGCACCAACTGCACCAAACCCCTGAGAAGGGAAGGGAGAAAAGGGACGAACCCGAACCCAAAAGCTGTAAACGCTTTGTCTTTGCTCTCCTTCTGCTCCTTGATTAGCTTACCATTTCAAAAGGGAATTTTGCTGTTTCCAGTGATTTCAAGAGGCAAAAAGGCCCCCGGTCTAATCCAGGAGCACACTCAGCCGATTTGTTCCCAAACAGCGACGCTTTGAACTGATCAGAGCGAACGCTATCCTGCCTTGTAATCTCCGAGTGGGTTTGGATGTGCTGCATTGTGGGTGAGGTGGATTTGAGGCTGATTCACACCCTTCTGTTACTCCTTACAATAAAAAGGGTTTTTCTTCATCTGCATTCAGCACGTGACTTGGTTCCTTTCCAAACTGCCAAAGCATTTTTGCATTTGTAAGGGTTTTGTTATTTATCTCTCCCATCAGCTACAGGAGTAACTCACATGCGAGGAATATTGAATAGGTGAGTCTGCTGGGAAGGTGGGGAATCACAAGCGGCTCCAGCCCCAGAGCCAGGTCTGAGTCAAGCCCAAGCCCTACCCAGGCTGCTGGAGCCCCCCTTCTCACAGCCTAAAGTACCTACAGAAATGTGGTCAATGTGGGAAATAAATATTCCCCTCATTTGTATTTATGCAGATTTATTCTGCCCCTGTCCCTGAGCTGCTCATTCTTTCAGTGCCTGTTCCTGCTTCCCGGCCTGTTGCCAGAGAGCTGGGAGCTGTTTGACATGAACAAACACATCCCTGGTGCCCCATCGATGCAGGTCCCTGCCTGGCTGGGGCTGGGACCCCCAGGACCCCTGGGTGAGCAGGCAGCAGTAGCCTGCAAGCTCTCAGGCACAGGAGCTCACCCCCAGCTGCAGTGGCATCAAACCTCATCCTGGGGCTGGCTGTGCCACAGCCCCAGAGCAGAATGGCTGCATGGAGAGAGCTGCTGGGGCTGGGGCCAGATTCCTGAGCTCTGCAGCTTCTGGATCCTCTGGCACAGCACCATGTGTGACCAGCCACTTCCCAGTGCCTACACTGGCCCTTCTGGGCATCCCTGGTGGGCAGCACCAACACCCTTCTCTGCCTCTGCCCATCATGGTCCTGCCCAGGCCTCCAGGGCCCCACCCCATGGGGAGTCCTGATGCTGTTGGCTGTGAGTTTGCACCTCCCTGGTATCTCATTCCCATGGCCAGGGCTCCTGCTCCAGCTAAAAGTTCCTCTAAAAACCCTGGAGGTTCCCTCCACTCTTTTCCCAAGGTGATGGGGTGACTGAGGTGTCACTGGGACCTCAGCCCAGCCTCTCCTGCTGCTCCCCACTCCCTTTACCTCACCATGGCAGCCTGTGAGCAAGAGATACCCCAAGCAGCCCCATGTCAGCCCTGCCCTGCCAGATAATCACAGAGGTGGCAATGCTATTGAGATGTGGTCATCAGGAGGTGTGGTCATCAGGAGATGTGACTGAGCTGCACTGGGTGCATCCCCCCTGCCTTTCATTCTGGTTGCAGTAACACCAACACGACACGGTGGGGGCTCCAGGAAATGGATCTTGATGCCAATGAGCTGCATGTGCTCGGAGCACAAAGATGAAGAGCAGATTCTGGGTGCCCTTGGATGGCTGTGAGGGGGAGGACAGGAGGGGTGGCAGTGCCTTGGCCCAAGCTATTGAATCCATAACGCCTCGTTGGGCACCTTTGGTTTCCAGTTCCTAAGGAAACAGAAGGAGGAGGATGAAGGAACTGTGCCAGCTCCCATCCCAGGCTCACTGGCTGTGAATGATTGCAAAGAGAGGTGTAAATGTTCCCTCAGTAACCTTAGAGACAAAAGGCCAAACTCCAAACCCTTCCAGGTGCTGCAGTGCCATTGGGCTGGATCCCAATGTCACGGAGTGAGGGATGAGCAGCCATCAGTCATCATGAGACCTGCAGAGCCAGTGGCAGCACCCACATCGGTCTGACCCACCAGTATTAATAAAAAATGGTGCCACAGGAGATGTCCCTGTTGCTGGCACCTCCTGGCCCCAGTGTGCCGGGACAGGTGACTCTGGAACACCCCAGATCTCTGCAAGTCCTGGCTGCAAGGGCACAGATGTTTTTATTCTGGAGCTGGGGGCACCTGGAGGTTCCTTTAAACCCCACGAAGTCCTCCTGCAGTGGCTGGGATATTTGGAAGGGCTGGTGGAAGGGACATTGCAGGCACCTGTGGCAGAGCCCTGTGGCTGGAGCCTGGCTCGGGGCTGGTGGTGCCTGTCCAAGCACAGCTCTGAGTGGTGCCAGCTGTCCTGCCCAGAGCACCCCAAGCTGTGTTTGCCCACAGGGATCACTTTGCAGCAGCCACCCCGAGCTCCCTGCTGCTGGTTGCACAACAGAACAACAACCTGAGGGTTGGGGCCACCAGCCAGGGTTTGCCTTGGCCCAGGTCGGTGCAGAACCAAAGCCCTGAAGGCAAACAGTGGCTTTGGCTGTGCCTGTGGCTCCGCTTTTCTCTGTTGTCAGCTGCTTTGGTGACAGAGAGCTCTCAGCCCCAGCTCAGCTCACTGCTGGAAGGACACAGGATTGGCCGGTCTGAGTCTATTCCAAGCTTCTCCACCCAACAGGGGAAGAAAGGAGCCCTGGGAAGATGGAGGAGCCATCCCCAGGCAGGGCAGATGCCAGGCAAGGGGCAGGGTCTGGGCAGGACGAGCACTGAGGATGTCACCAGCTGTGGGAGTTTTGTCTCCCAAGTCCCAGGGCACCTGTCCACTGTCTGGAGCATCCTGGGTGCTGTTAGTGTTGCCACTGCTTCTGCCATGCTGAGCATGGCATGGGGATAAAGCTTTCCTGCCAACAGTGAAAGGGCTTTTCACCACAGTTTTGATAAGAAATTATGGGATGAATCTTTTTATTTATGAAACATCAGAACATTTCCCTTTTTTCGAGAGCAACTGCTTTATGCAAATGCCTCCTGTTTGGTTCTCATAGCTTCAACCAAGACCTCCTACTATTCTTTTTTTAAACTTCCTGTAATTAAATAAAAAAGGAAGAAACAGATTAAAAGACACTAAATAACCCAAAAGAGAATGAAGCATCTTGTTTAGCCTCAAAATCCTGTATTAGCCTGATCAAAAGTGAATCTTGTCTCCATTCCCGTGCTCCAGACATCCCCCTCGCTGCCCTCATGGATGCAGGAAGGGGAGGAGGACAGTCCTGTCTGGCTGTTCATTTTTACAGCAGTGCATTGAATATTAATCACCCTCAGCCCTGTGCTGGAGGCTCTGCTGCAGATCACTGGTCCTGCAGCCTCTCTGTAATTCCCACATGTGAGACACGTGGGATCCCTGCACTGACCTGGCTGTGCAGGCACCAGACACACCCCCCAGCAGTGTCCCTGAGCACCCTGACAGCTCTACTGAACATGTCACTGTGCATCAGGCTGTTGTCATCCCTGGGTTTGCTCTCAAGGAACTGGGCACTCTCAAGGAATTGGGCACCTTTCTCCTCCTCGTTAATGTGAGAAAATAAACGTAGGGAAACAAGGTTGGTTCCTGCATTAATTCTCTCCCCACGAGGCCAACCTGGCTCTGCATCCCTGCCCCATGCAAGCAGCTCCTGGGAATGAAGCCCAAGGAACAAATGTCCCTGGTCTTACTGAGACTTGAGTGAGATTTGGGTGCCTTCGGCACTGATGGGCTTTGCTCCTGACACCGTTGAAGGCACAATGAGAAAAGCCCCACACACAAAGGTGCTCACCAGGCTGTCCACCCTGCTTGTCCCCACGCTGGCAGCCCTGCCTGTCCCCAGACTGGCAGCCCTGCCTGTGCCTGTGCTGGCAGCTCTGCCTTCTCCATGTTCCTGGTGGCAATGGCAGCTCCCCCAGCCCAGCTGCCCAGGAAGGTGGCTCTGACCCAGCAGAAACAGGGAAATAATGTGAAATAATTCCCTTCTACATTTCCCAGCGGAAGTTCTGCTCATGGGGAAGACCCCCTGCCAGACACACAAAGCATGGAAAGCAGTCCTCTGTTTTTCACAGATACAGCTGTCCAAAGGAATTGCAGCACCTTCACCTCACAGGAGGCATATTAATTACTCTATTGACTCGTGCTCTTGAGAGCCTCAGGCATGTCAGAGCTCAGCCTGGGATCAGAGGGATGCAGAGAGACAGGAAGGGAGTGAGTGGTGCTCCCTGACAGCCCCAGTGCAGCCTGGCCACAGCCCAACTCACCCAGCAGTCACTGGGCCATTCCACGCTGTCCCTGACCAGCATCAGACCATCTTCACATCTCTGATCTGTGCCTGACTGTTAAATAACTCAGCAGCAGGGGAAAAAATACTTGAAAAAATATCTGGAAGATATAGAGCCATTAATGAAAAACATCAGAAAATAGATATCAAGTAATGACACCATGATGAGAGCTTATTAATAGGAAAGGCTAAAGATAAAACTAATTTAAACCTGATGAGACAAGACATCTCATCTTCAGGAGAACGAGAAGTCAATAGTTGCCTGTCAGTAAAGGAAATAAATAGCTCACAAGGGAGGAGGGAAAGCTGCAGGACTCCTAGGCCCTAGAGAGTAGCAGAGCCTGTGACAGACTGTGAGATACCCTCTGAATTTACAAACTGCCACTCACCACCAGTGCCTCTGTCATTGCCATGCAGGTCACAGCCCCGCAGTGCTCCAGGAAGGCGCAGGGACATGGGGAGAGTCTGGGGACAGACGACAATGCCACCCTGGGGGGGCTGCAGGGCAGCTTGGGGCTGCTCTAGGGGTGCACCAGGCAGTGGCAATGGAGGGCCTGATGCATTTCCAGCACAGCACAGAGTTTGCTGTTGGCTGCAGAGGAACCTGTAGGAGCAGCTGTACCTGTCCCGCTGGAACACAACCACTGCCAGTTCCAGAGTGGAGTGAACTAAAGATAGATCTGGTGCTAGAAGAGGAAAACATTTCTGAAAGCTCTTTATGTTGCATTAAATCCCTAAGTGCCAAGAACTGGCTTCAGAAATGGTGATGAAAAGGCACTGAAGGAAACCTCTCCGGATCCCCAACCCACAGCAGTCATGGTGCAGTGAGGAGGAGAAGGCCTGGGGGAACGGGCTGGCAGGCACAGGGAGCCTATCTGCTGAAGTGAAAACCCATGAGAGAAGGGGAGGAGAGCACTTCCCCTGGCACAGCCTGGCAGGCTGCTGGCATGGCTGTCACCTGCCACTGCCTCAGCAGAGCAAGGCTCTGGCCGACTTAAAGCAAACTGTGCTTGCCAAGGCTGCCATCGGGGAAATCACCCATCCTTCCCTCCACCGTCACCATGACATGCAGAGGGAAATCAGATTGCAGAGCTCTGGGGGTTCTGGGGAAGGACGTGACACACCCCGGCCAGCTCTGACGCTGGGAAAAGCCCAGTGCTCTGCCCAGGCTGCTTCAAGAGCCTTGGAGAAAGGAACAAGGTTGGGCAGGGGCGTGTAGGCAACGATGGGCATCGATTTTGAGACTGTCCTCGGGCCAGTAAATGCCCGTGATGAGCAGCGAAGACTGGCTGCGAGTGCCTGCTGCAGTCCGTGCCTCTGCTCCCCCACTACGAACAGATTCATTCTCTGAGGGGCTCCAGGGAACAAATAAGCTCTTGTTCTCCCTGACAGCGACCTTTCTGCCAGGTGAAGCTATTTGTGTGTGAGGGGGATGTCCAGCCTTGCCTACACACCCTGCCAGCATAAAGGAAAGCACAGGCCGTGTGTTACGAAATCGCGGTGTCAGGAGATGCCTCGGGGCACGGCTGCCTGGAAAGTAAATGTCATCCCACCACTTCAGGTCTGTGCTGGGAAACCTGATCCGCCAAATGCCTCGGTAGGTGTTTGCCCATGGGTGTAACCAGGGCACGACTGGCTGGGAGGGCAACACTTGCACCTGCAGAAGGCACAGGTGAACATCAGCGTGGGAAATGTGAGGTCCGGGGGAGTTCAGGGCTCTCGTCCCTTGGGAACAGAAACGTGCAAGAATGAGCACGAGGTGCGAGCTCAGCTTTCCCAACAGCCAGATTCGGGGAGCAAATCTGACAAGAGACACAGAAACTGCATCCCACCTCCAGCCCTCAAGAAAAACAACACATGCCTGCTTTCAGGCAGTGCCAAAGAACTGACTCAGTCTCCAAGGTCACCGTAAGCACTTCCTAATGGATGCTTTGCTGCCTTAAAACCTCAGTCTTCATTCCCGAGGCCTATAAAAACTAAAAAGGCAAAGCAAATGGTGAGTGCTACGGCTCCCTGGGGAGGCCGCGAACTGAGCATTATCACCTCCTCATCAAAATGTAAAACCCAGCTCTCCTCCTCATTAGTCTCCCGCTCTTAAAATAATGATTGTAAAACGACCCGCAGATGGCCTCATAGCAGGATGGAGGGGGGAGGGCACACCGAGGTCTGAATTTCCCACTTGGAAGAGGTGCTCCTGGGGAGAAGGTCAAAATGAGCAGGGAAAGGTGAATGTCAGGACCACGGTCCCAAAATGCCTGCAAAATATGAGCTGAAGAGCTGCCAAAGGGCAGTCAAACTGGGCCACTACCCGGCGGGGTTAATTAGCCACACAAATGTTGGCCTCAGCACGGGTCACTTCTGAGGGGTGATGCTTATACATCCTGCTGCTCCCTTTGGGATTTCAACCAAAACTCCTGCCTCGCCCTGAAAAACCTCTGTGCCAAAGGTTCACCCTCACTGGGCAGCAGAGGCACAGGCCCTGGTTTGTGAACTTGGGCAGAAGACACTTTCCCGTGTGCCTGTCAGCACCTCAGAGCCCACAGGGACTGTGCTGACTGTGCAGATTCACTTCTAGGAGAAGGGACTCAGCACTGAGATAATAAGCAAAATGTATTTGTTTCTTGAAATCTAATGAATATTCAGTGAGCCATGCTGTTTTCAAAGAGATACAATTATAGCCCAGAAAGAGCTGAGCAGGAGAGAAGGCTTTCGAGCAAAACCCTTTCATGTTTATTTAAAAATTCTGCAAATTCATGTAAGACTGCTCTGTTACCAGCTGTTCCTTCAAAACTGGTCACTGGATAGAGCCTTTCACAAGATTTTTTCCTAATGACATGATTATCTGTATGAAAAGGGGTGATCCTTTCTCACGTATCAGTTTACTCATGAGTGCAGGTCACAGGTCCTTGTTTGAATTTTGCAGAGCAGGCTGGAATGTGACACAGTGCAGCTGGGGTCAGCTGCAGGCTGATGAAAACAAGGAGCTGTCAGATGCACTTAAAGAACTTACTGGCTATTTAAATCGGTACAACCACTTCTTTAGTGAGCAAAGGGATGTTTGGATTACAAAGCTGCACCCCAAGTTTTAAGAGGCCAGAAGATGACCCTTGGCTGGCAGCCAGCTCTTCCCATGCCATCCCCCAGGCCTGGAGACAAGGAGAACCTCTGTAGCCGAGATCCAGTCTTCCCCAGAGGGCAAGGCTGCATTCCCTCAGCCTCAGACACATCAGATTCACTGGTGCACGCTAAACACCATTTTACATTCCATATTCCAGCATGGCATTCCACCACACGAGCATGGTGCGGGTTTTTGCCTCCCCTTTCCAAGCATTTTGCCAATACTGGAGCTGTATTTTTCAGGCACTACCAGCTTTTGCAGCTCCTATATTCAGCCCAGCTTGTAGGAAGGACCTGCTCTGCACATGCATCTCTCAGGCTGGGCTGTGTTAGAAGATGTGGTTGCAGTCAGAGGACTGACCTGCAGCACTGTGAGGTCAAGCCTCAGAGCAAGTCAAAACACACAGTCTCACAGTAATTGTGCTTGGCAAGTTCACACACACCTTCCACCCCTTTGGCCTACGAACTCGCACGCATCTATGAGGGGTAGGTTGTAGCCAAAGCAGAAATATGTATGTTATTATTTCACAAATATATTTTAATATACATATACATCTCCCTGTTTTCTACCACATCTCCACCTGACAACACTCCCTGGAGAAAATGTGCTGCTTCCATGCACGGGCAGCAGGGACCCTCAGCGACAGGCAGCAGCACGGGACAGGGTCGTCCGGCAGAGCGCAACTCCCCTCAGGGTCTGCGAGCTGGCAGAGGTCACCTGAAAGAAACAGCACAGGTCCTCAGGCATGGGAAGGTTGGGGAGGATCCACTCTAATTTTAGGTTCTTCTGGCAGAAGCTGCTCTAGAGAACAGCACTGTGCAAGGAAAGCAGCACTGCAGGCAGGTCACCTTCACCACCACGTAGTCCCCCGGCCGGGCTCTGCCCGGAGCCCCGCAGTCCGCAGCGTCCTCCAGCTCAGCATCGGGGAAGATCACCTTGATGTTGCCGTCGTTCCTCCCACACAGCTCCGAGGCAGAGCGCTTGCTGGGCTGGAAGGAGGACAGGGAACATTACCTGCATGGCAATCGCTCCGATTCACTGCTGGGCTTTATTGCCTCAGGAATTAATTGAGCGCTATTGACGGTGTTAAACCCACATTCCACGCCGTTAAGCAACACCTGGAACAGAGCCCTCTGGCCAGAGCTCCTGGGTGACACTCACACACTAATTCTGTGCTTGGCCAGAGACACATCCCTAACCGATCCCATCCTTTGTGCTCAGCTCAGTGCTCTGGAAAAATCAAGCTGTCTGCTTAAGGGTGAAGAAACAGCCTTGGGAGTCCTGGGATTACGTGGGGAAAGTGAGAATGGAGGGCAGAAGTGGTGACTGCTCTGCACAGGGCCAGCAAGAGGGGAAGGACCACCACTTGGTTGCAGGCACTCACCCCCTCCACCAGCACCAGCTGGTCCTGCCCCACCAGCGCCACGTTGGCCGTGGCAGCCTCCTCTCTGAAGGTGGTGATGAGCTCCTCCAGCCGCCGCCTCTTCACGGCCGCGGGCACATCGTCCTGCAGCCGGTGATACGCCCGGGTCTTCTGCAAACACACGAAGCCAGTGCGGCCCCTCAACACCCATCCTGAGCTCAGAGCTTTGGCTGACCCCAGCCAGCTCTGCTGCTCTTCCACCAGCGGCTTCCCACGTGTGTATGTTTGTATTCACAAATGAATTATTCCAGGTGCTCAGCACCAGCTGCATCCTTGAGTCCCTCGTGTCTTTCTGCTCCACCTTGTAGGCAGAAGGTTTGACGTAGGGCACTGAGTATCAGTGGCTGGGAAACAGTTTTGCAGCTCCTGTGTGGGATGTGCCCACGCCTGTCTGCCCACAAGGACAGGCAATGGATTCTTCTAGTTCTGGGCCCATGTGCTGAAACGTGATCTATATTCTTTTGCTTCCTTATGTTTCCCAACCTCCTGTCCTCTTCCCACCAGCATCATACACTCTAGAGAGCATTCTAATGGGGACTTATCTACTATACACTCTTCTCATGGAAATACCTTCTGACTCAACTGACAGTCCCTATAGCTGGGCTACAGCCCAGCTTCATCAGCACAGTCCTCACGAGCAAATAATGCACCAGCAGCTGAGTTTGCAGACAGAGCTGCTTCCTTGCAATCACTCTGGAGCATCTGCAGAGCCAGGTCACCAAGCAGTAACCAACCCTGACACTCCACAGAGGAGCTGGAAGCCTCCCAGGCACAACAAAAGCCCTTGCAGAACCACACATCCTACAAGTCCTGCCTGTGAGAAAAAAAATCTACCAATATACCAAGTCTTTGGGTATGATTTTCAACAGCTTTTAAAAACTGTGTTATTGTGAGAAATAGCACTGAGTAGTTAGGTGAGATGCCCAGAGATAACAGCCTTCTCCACCAGGTCCTGCTCTCACCTGTCTCATGCTGTAGGCAAACAGGAAGCCAACATTGTAGCGGACTTCCCTCAGCAAGGACACGGTCTGCTGGTGATCTTCCTCTGTCTCCCCACAGAACCCAGCGATGAAATCGCTGCTTAAGCTCACTCCTGAAAGAGACACAGCTGTACACTTCCCTCATGGAAGAGGGGAATGCTTCACTCAGGAAAGGACAGCGAGATACAGCTGTGCTGAGTTCAGATGACACCAAAGGGAACGCCCACCTGGGATGGAGTCACGCACGTGGTGCACCAGATCTAAATACGCTTCTCTTGTGTATCTGCAATGAACAGCACATGGATTCGCTCACTGGAAACCCACAAATTGGTGAGGAGAAACCAGCACCCCAAATCAGAGGGCAGGGCCCAGGGCTCCCCTCGGGGTGACCCACCCTCGCCGCATGGCCTCCAGCACTCGTGTGCTCCCACTCTGGGCTGGGAGGTGCAGCTGTTTGCAGATGTTGTGTCGCTCCTGGATGACCTGCAGGACCTGTGGTAAGTGACCAGGAGATGTCACAGACAGCTCAACTCTACCAGGGTCCCAAGAGTGCCTGGGTAAAAGCCAGCAAACTGCAAACCTGCAAGCTTTAGCCCCAGCATCCCTGTCCCAGGAGCTGCTGTTCCCAGGCTGGGATTCCACATCCCCTTTGGGAAGACAGCACAGCCCACATCTCACAGTTCAGAGCTTGCCTCCCTGCCTGCAAGCAGAGGTCCAGGTGTTTATTTTACACTTGCCTCATCAGGAAAATCCTTGGGGTGTGGAGAGGTGAAACGGATCCTCATTTCTGGATCAATCCTAGAGACCTGGTCCAGCAGGTGTGCAAAGCGCAAACCTCCCTGTTTGGCTTTGTAGATTGTGCTAAAGCCACGGCTGAGGCCTGGGGCAGCTGCAGACTGGAACTGCACCTCAGACAGGTCTCTGTAGCTGTTGACATTCTGACCCAAGAGGGTCACTTCTTTTACTCCCTACAAAATAAACAAGAGGAAAAGAAATAGCCCAGGCAGGATGGACAAGCTGCAAGGGCTGTCATGGTTTTACTCAAAGGAGTTTCCAAGGGAAGCCCCCCTTTCCCTGTCTGTCATGGAGTATTACAACAAGAATGAAAAAACCAGTGGTGGAACCCCAGGGTAACCTCACCTCTGCTGGCAAAGGCAGTGACACTGGTTAAATGTATCACTGAAAACACTGCCACCAAGAACCACCCTTCCTCCCACGGTTTGGGACAGGGGGGAGGAGGCTCTGCCTCACCTGATCCGAGAGCATCCTCACTTCCTGCAGGATGGATGCGATGGGGCGGCTCCTTTCCCGGCCTCGGGTGAAGGGCACGATGCAATAGGTGCACATGTTGTCACAGCCCCGCATGATGGACCTGCCCGGAGGGAAAGCACAGGTCACACCACTGTGACTGCTCTGCAAGAACCATCCATGCTGCATCCTGCCCTGCTTTGTGCCCAGCACTGCTGCCTCCAGCCAGCTCTGCACACAGACCAGCTCTGGGCACAACTCCCACACTCTCCTCCACCCACCCTGCTTTTGGCTTGCCCTGAGCTAACAGCATCCTGATTTTTCATGCACATTCCCAAGAAAGTTGGAAAGAACAAGGCCCAGACTTCCACTGCAGCCTGGTAGTGATCAAAGGTCCTTCTGCATCCCACTGTCCTGCAGAGAGCAATGCTGTCCTTCCGTATGCCACGGCCACACAGAGCACAGTGTGGTTTCATGTTTAGGAGTTTTATTATCAAAACTAAACAAAGAGAAATAAAATCAACAGAAGTTACAATGTGTGGAGGATTAGAAGAATAAATAGCATAACCTAGGGCAGGGCATGACAGAAAGCAGGGGATGAGAGATGCACAGACATCAGTGGGACAGAAATCACTCAGTGCAGCATCAGGCTGAGACACTCAGCATTCCCAAAGGTGAGGGTGAGAAGTCCATGACAGCCAGAGCTCGGGGCAGGCTCTCCAGGACTCAGCCACACAGTGAAGCAGCAGCAAACACACACTCTGGTAAATTCATGCCTCTGGGCTGCCGGGAGCAAGTGCGGCAAGGCACTGCATCTCCTGGGCAGCTGCTGTCACCGGCACGTCTGCTCTGCACAGCAGATTTCCAAACCGGAGCCACAGAAACGAGCCCTGGGAAAAGGTACTCACACAAACGCTGTCGTGCCACCTGCACTAGTCTGGACAGGCAGAATGTCTGCATAAGTCTCATCTAGGGACAGCAGGACATTGGCAGCTTGCTGGCCAGACTGCGCCACGGCCAGCAGCCGGGGCAGGTCGCGATAGGCGTCAGGGCCTGCCACGACATCGACCAGCTTCTCCCTGTGCAGAATCTCCTCCTTGAGCCTCTCAGCCATGCATCCTGCAGCCAAAGGAGAAGGGTCCTCATGAGGCAGTGCCCACCCCGTTACACCCCCTTCCAGCAGCCCTTCCCAGCTGCTTTCCCCCCAGAGGGGAGCAGTGGCTGCAGCATGGTGGTACCCAGGATCCCGATGCGCAGGGGGACACGAGCCTGCTGCCGCCGGGCCTTCAGCGCCTTGAGGTGCTGCAGACGGTTCCAGATGGCCTGCTCTGCCTTCTCCCTGGGGAGCCAGGAAAACTGGCTCTTCCAGCTGCTGCACTTTAACAGTGCCCCAGCCTGAAGCGCCTTCTGAGGAGAATTCAGCTAAAGGGAGGGAATCATCCACCTGACGGACCCGATGGCAAGCCATTTGTGGTGTGGGGATTATGTCTTAACTTGATCTTATCTATTATCACTTTACTTGCTTGGAAGCATCTACACTGCAGAAACAACAGGCTAAGCTCTTGGGGAGAAAAAGTACTGTAGGCACAGTACGAGCTACACTGCAAGTGAAAATGAGCAATGACAATTCAGGATCCTCCCCATTCCAAAAAAGCAAGCAAAGTTCCCTTTGTATTTATATCAAATTCTCACACTTCTGAAGTACAGACCCTGTACTAGACACCCACTTCAAGAGAAAACAGAATACGAAAAAATAAAATCATTAAAGCACTGACTGTGCAGGTCTCTCACTGCTCATGGCACATACACAGAGCTTGCACTAGCCAAACAACTTCTCACTACACAGAAAAGCAATTCCTAGCACAAATAATGTCGTAAATCATGGCATTAGCCAGCTCTACCCTCAGCTAAACAGTCACTTTCACACCTGCACACTCCTTTCCTCACACATCACATTTATTGCTTTGGTTTTCAAATGGAAATTCCTTAAAAACTGTCCAAAACCAGGAGTGACAAAAGGTTCCTTACCTCACGGAACAGGTGACAAGGAGAACCACATCTGCCTAAATTGAAAGTAACAAAAAGGCAAGAATTCATAAAAGCCAAATGATAAGTTTCTCATGCCCTGCCTGGGTAACCTGAAGAGGCAGACTACAAAACTCATTTAAGTCAGGGAAAAAGACCTGCCTGAGCACACAGCGGGTTTCAACAAACAGAGGTGCAAGAAAGTAAGAGAAGAGAAGTACAGTCCTTCACTAAACGACAGAAGTAAACTCAAAGATGAGTCAGAAGGACCCTGCTGTGTCCAATCCTTCTCCAACTGAGAGCGAGCCCAGCAGTTTAAAGAAAAAAGACAACCCACAGCTCTCCACCACACTTGTTAGGTAGTTTCCTCCACTCTGCAGAACTCAGACTGCAAAGATCACAACATCCCGCAGGACTGCACTCCAGAGGAAGCTGGGACTTGCAGGCACAGCCAGGGTGTGAGGCCCCCAAAAGCCCTGTGCTCCAGGAGAGCTGCCAAGGTGCTGCCTCACCTCATCCAGCTCCTTCGTCCTGGCATAGCCACTCCTCTGCAGGATGGCCCAGGCGATCTCCGTGTCGCTCACGTTCATCTGGCAGCCGTAGGTCTCCAGGTAAACTGCAACACAGGCAGGAACCTGCTCAGCTCCCATCCACAGCCTGTTCTGTGGCCTCCTCTATAGGAAGAAGCCTTCAATCCCACACTGGAGTCAGGGAAGCAGCTGCCTTCACCTGCAGCCCACAAAGGATAACCAAAACACACACTCTGGGAAGCCCGTGTGTTCAGAGTATGGCTCTGCAGCGTGACAGGTCTGGGCCGTGGGCTGCAGCTACTGTGTCTTTACTGAGATACAATTCTTAGTGCAATGAAAACCGTCCCCTCCCCAGGGCACCACAGCCAGGGCTCTGACAGCCCCACTGACAGCCCAGCCCAGCCCAGGAACCCCCTCCCTGCCCAGCTCCGTGATGGGGACACACACACAGAGCCTGCTCCCTGCCCAGATCCGTGACGGGGGAGACACACCAGTGTGGAGACAAGGACTAAATTCCTTCTAGTGCCGAAACCCTCTCAGGGCCCCCAGAGCTCCCAAACAACCCGCTTCCCCCGGCCTGGCCGACCCCGCGAGCCCCGCAGACCCGCGGACCCACAGACCTTTCGCGGCCCCGGGGGCAGAGCTCGCCTCGGGAGGCGGCCCCGGCTCCTTCCCGGCCGCCGCCCTCAGGAAGTGCCGCAGGTCGGGCCCCGCGGGCAGCGCGGCCCTGCGCCCCTCCGGCCGCTGTCCCGGCCCGCAGCGCGCTCTGCGGGCGGCCCCGGTGAAGGGCCCGGCCCCAGTGCGGGGCCCGGCCCCGGGCAGGAGCAGCAGCCCCGCCGCCCGCAGCGCTCGGGCCCCGGGCAGCATGGCCGCGGCTGGGGGGGCGCTTTGGGGGACGGACCGGCCGGCCGGGCACGGGGCGGCCCCGCCGTGCGCCAGCAAAGCGGCCCGGTCGCCGCCCCCTGCCCCTCGGTGCCGCGTTCCGCCCCGCCGCCGTTCCGGCCTCCCTTCCCCTGCTACCACGGAATGACGGAATGGATGAGGTCGGGAAAGGTCATCGAGATGATCTGAGATAATCGTCCAGTCCAACCTGTGATGGAACACCACCATGTGGCACTGAGTGCTGCGTCCAGTCTTTTCTTAAGCACTCCCGAGTCAATGACCACCACCTCCACGGCAGCCCATTCCAATATCTAATCACCCTTTCTGCAAAGGAATTCTTCCCCATGTCCAACCTAAACCTCCCCTGGTGCAGCTTAAGACTAGGTCTTCTCATCCTATTGCTGCTTGACTGGGAGAAAGGGTCGACCCCCACCTGGCTACGACCTCCTTTCAGGGAGTTGTAGAGAGTGAGGAAGTCTCCCCTGAGCCTCCTTTTCTCCCGGTTAAACCCCCCCAGTTGCCTCAGCTGCTCCTCACAGGACCTGTGCTCCAGACCCTTCCCCAGCTTCCCTTCTCTGGACATGCTCCAGCCCCTCCATGTCCTTGAAATCAGGGGCCCAGAACTGGACATGGAATTTTTTCCAGGTGTGACCTCACCAGTGCCCAGTACAGGGGGACAATCACTGCCCTGCTCCTGCTGGCCACACTATTCCTGATGCAAGCCAAGATGCCACTGGCCTTCTTGGCCACCTGGGCACACTCTGGCTCGTGTTCAGCCGCTGTTGATCAGCCCCCCCAGTCATTCTCTGCAGCTGCAGCAATGGGAACAGACGAGCCCGGGGGTCCCGCTCCCGCCCCCACTCCCGCCTGGCCCAGTGCAGAGAGCCCAGTGTGGCCCCAGGCACAGACAGTGACAGTGACACCACGGCCCTGGCGCCAGCGCCTTTATTGCTGCTCAGAGGCCCTGGGATGAGGAGGGAGGGAGGGAAGGGGTGGCTGGGGGCAAGGGACCCCTCTCAGTAGCACTGGGTGAGGACCCAGTGAGGGGACAGGGAGTTCAGCCCTGGAGGTGCTGCTGCCCTGGCCACAGTCCAGGCCAAGGCAGTGGTGCAGGACACTGGTGGGTTTGGCTCCAGCAGCAGGACCAGAGGCAGGGAAAGGTGAAGGAGCCAAGGGGGTTTTTTCAGTGCTGGAGGTCCCTCGTGGCCTTATCTTCACACCTTCGGCTGGAAGTGAACGTCTGCTCCGAGCAGCAGGAAATTCTGGGAGAAAGAGGAAAGCTCTGGGCTGCCACCAGCCCTGACAGCTGCACTGCCCAGCACCCATCACACTCCAGGAGGGAGAAGGGATCGGCACCTGCCAGCCCCTGTGCCTAATTTAGTGGCTGGCAGGGGCTCAGGGTTGGCAGGATGGTGCCCAGCTGGGCCCAGGTGCTCCCCCTCACTCACCTGGTGGAACCTTACGAAGGTGTTGAAGAGCTGTATCCTGTCTGGCAGTGGCAGAGGGAAACCCTCATCTAAGCGGGCTGGAAAAGACAGCACACAGCTGCACTGGGATGGGAAGGGGAGCGAAGGGAGCAGTGGCCACGCAGAGAAGGCAGCCACTTCCTCCCCCCAGCCCCTTCCTTGCCCCCTGCTGCTCTCAGGGCAGGCAGAGGAAATTCCTCCCAAGCTCCACAGCAGGGCTGGGGACTGCGTGCTGTGCCATGACAGCCCCCTGGGCCCCTCCAGCCGCCAGCCCTGCTCTCCAGGCCCAAACTGCTGGAGAGGCAGGGGAAACAGGGAGTGGGGAAGAGGGTCTGGAAAGCATTAAGATATGCACAGGGCTCATTTTTTCCATTGCGTGTGCTGCTGGGAGTGTCACAGCGGCAAGAGGCTCCCACCGCTTCCCAGCCACCTCCTGCACACTCTGGGGGCTTTCCCCCTGGATCAGCCTCGGCAACAGGGATTTAACTAGTGAGGCTGCTCCGGCACCCCCTGTTCCCCCCAGCAGGTTCTCACCATTAAGACGGGGGAGCAGGATTTCAGAAGCAAAGATGTTCATTATGGACTGCAGCAGTCGCACCTGGGGAGCGGGGAGAGGGAGGAAAAGCTTTAGCCTGCAGGACAGGAGATGTGCAGGCACTGGAGGATAATTAGGAAAAGAAAAAGGGATGAGGAGCTGGGATGGGCACATGCTTTGCCAGAGACCAGAGGCCTTGTCTGGCCACACTGGCAGGGTAGGAAGTGCAGGGGTGAGAGCAGCAATGGATCTGGCTCTGCTTCCTCTCCCAGCCTTGCAGGCTTAGGCAGGATCAGTGTGGGGTCCTGAGTGCACCCCCAGGTCCTGTGTCATGGGGCAGGGGCAATGAGCTCTCTCCTTGGCCCCCCCATCAGGCTCCCGACTCCATACTGGGGGCTCTGGTCATGGTCAAGGATAACTTACCGGGAAAGTGCCGACAACTGAGTCCTTTAGAGAGAGCTTGATCCTGCACAGGGACAGAAGTGGTGCTGTGGAGGATGTCCCAATGGAGGGAGCAGGGATGTCCCAATGGAGGGAGCAGGGATGTCCCAAAGGAGGGAGCAGTTCCATCCACTGATGGCCATGCAGATCCTGCTCCCTCCAGCCTCAGCTCATCCCCTCCACACCAGGTCCACACCCCTGGGACCTCCCCACCCACTCTCTGTCCCTGGGAGCCCAGAATAGAAACGTCCCCAGCCTCCCCCTGCCCAGCAGTGGCCACTCCCCTCTGTACCTTCCCACATTCAGGCTCCCAACTATGTGGCCAGATCTCACGTCGATGACAGCGGACACGTTCCCTGTCTGGGCAGAGAGCACAGAGCTCCAGCAGTGCTCATCCCACCTCCCCCCAAACCAGGCACCCAGGAAACAGCTCTGACCAGCTGAAACACAGCAGAACTGCTGCCCATACAGGGGCATGTTTGCACCCAGCATTAAACACAGCATTTGTCAGCTGGGTATTGCTCTGTTGGGGACTCCCACTGAGCCTGCACAGCACGTGGCACCTCCCATGGCAGGAGCTGGGCAACAGGACTGAGCACAGCTCAGACTCCTGTCTTTGCCTCACTGCTGCGGGTTGTTCATGGACTCACCAGGCTGAGGACGAAGAGAGGAGCCAGGCTGGAGTTGGGAAGGATGGCATAAGCCTGGACATCCACAACGGGCTTGAGAGAGATTCCTTCCGGTCCAATGTTCAGGAACGGGGCAGTGAGGGTGGACAGCCTGAGCTTCATCGGCATGTTCGGGTACATCTGCTCCAGCTGCATGGGAGAGGGGACAGGGTGGGGACAGCGGCACAAACCTCAGCTCCTGGGGGGAGAACACTTCTGTGTACAGGTGCTCTGGGGAGGCAGGGCTGGACTGCTCACCTGGGGAACGAAGGCTGAGAAGGTGGAGGTGTTCAAGTGGAAGTCAACATCCTTTGGGATCTGCGGGGAGAGGACTGTCACGCTGGGGCAATGCAGCACAGCAGAGCCCTGGTGAGCCCACCCGTCCCCACCCAGCCCAGCCCCATCCCACAGCCCCCAGCCCTTCCCCTGGGGGTCCTCCAAGACCACTGGCTGCCACCAGAGCTCCTCAGCAGATGGAATCCCTGCCAGGGGCTCGGGGCCAGCCCTATCCCACCTTCACCGCTCACCTTGGCATCCGTGATTTCGAAGACCAGCGCCCTGGAGGTGTGGTAGGCAAAGCCGGCTGTGTTGAAGAAGTAGCTGGAGGCCCCAAAGTAAACCATGCGATCGTGATCCGAGGGCAAGGACAGCGGCAGCGGGGAGAAGGGGGCAGTGGAGCGGTGGGCCAGGGAGTAGAATTCACCCTGGGAGAAGGGAGAGAGTTGGAGGAGGAGGGCAAACAGCGGTGGGGCTCAGCTGCTGACGCGGGCTGGCAAACAGCGTTTGCAGCAGGTACCGAATCCTCGTTACCCACCCGCCTGTGGCAACGGCATCGACCAAATCAAGTCTCCCCAGGGCAGCCTCTCACCTTCAGGCCTGTGTCCAGGGACTGGGCAGTAGCAACTGGGGGTGCCACGAAGGAGTAATCAATGCCAGTCCTGGCGTCTATCTTGGCTGTGACTGTAAACACAAGGCAGAGAGGTGAGCGAGAGGGAGATGGTGTGGAAATCTGGGAGCAGATCACCTTGACTGGCATTCAGGCAGTGCTGCACCTGGGCTTGCTGGTGCATCAGCACAGTACCAGCTGCACGTGTGCTTGCTTCTGTTTAGAAGCAAAAAATCCCATTTTCCTCCTGGCTGCCTCTCAGCCATGCAAACCAACTCCTGGACCTGAGGAATGGCCTGGGTGCCCCTGCTAGGGCAGCCCAAGCCCCTGCCAGTCCTGGGGCACAGCTACTGGAGGGGTCTCCACAGCCAGAGTGGGTGCACAGTGACATGTCTCTGCTGATGAGGTGCTCCCCAGCTCCCAGCTTGGGTGCAGGAACACAAGGAGGCAGGGAGAGGGCACAGGGTAAAATACTGTCCTCATGGCTGGGAAAGGCTAGGAAAAACTGGTCCTAAACTCCCATGCAGCCCCCTGGTACCTGGCAGGGTCTGCATGTACGTCTGGAGCTCGCTGTGCACAGACTTGGCCACGCTGTCACAGACCTGTGTGAGGGAAAGGAACTGAGCAGGGGCAGCCAGGTCACAGCCCCCATCAGAGCTGAGGCCACAATCCCTGCTCTGCTGCCTGCTGCTGGGTTTATTCCTTAACAAAGCCTGCTTAAATGAAAGAGTACACAGTGATGATTGCCTCCATTCATCAGGCAGCACATTAAGTGTCCAAGACACAAGCAGGGTCTACACCTGAAAGCATCTGTTTGCAGCAATTTCCCCTCTGCAGATTCAGCTCCAGGGAGGCCCTTGGACAGAATCTCTCGTGTGCCCTCAGTCTTTTCCTTCGGCCCGTGTGAGAATGAACCATGAGCTGCCAGGACTTGGCCAAAGCAGAGCAACTGAAGGGGTTAACCTCCCCCACAGGGGCAGAAGCCCTGA